ATAACTCAAACTGACGTATTTTCAAAAATTGCAGAGTTTTATGTTTGACAGGATTTATTCTCAAATAATTGATAAAATCAACGTTAACCAATTTGGTGCTTTAAAAAAATCGTCTACTGCGCATTATTTAATTCAAATTAACCATTTTATTTTAAAATCAATCGAAATTCCTGGCGCTACAGTTTTAATTGCTGCTATTGATAGTCTCAAAGCATTCGATTTAGTTGACCACTCGTTGTTGGCCGCACTTCTTGTTGATCTTGGTGTACACGACATTGATATTTTATGGTTATTATCCTTCTTAAAATTTCGTAAGCAGATTGTTAAGTTTGAAAAGTCGTTTTCAAATCCCAAGAGATTAACATGCGGTACACCAGCCGGTACCAAACTAGCTGCTCTTCTGTTTATTATCTTAATTAATCCGATTCTGAATGCATTAAAAATCAAATTACTTGATATTAACCCCAATTTTTGTATAGCTGGATACACTGATGATTTGGTTATTGCTGAAAGAGTTATTGGTAATGCACCCAAATTGCAATCTGCACTCAATATTTTGAGTGAAGAGTGTAAGGCAGTTAAAATAACGCCCAATCCTCGTAAATGTGAAATATTGGTAGTTAATTTTGGTGGAAGAAGAGTTAATTTTCCTACTAAGTCCTTTTGTATTGATTCAGTTCCTATACCCGTTGTAAAGAGCTTAAAAATTTTAGGGGTGACTTTTTGCCCAAATTTTAGTTGGGATAGTCATATAAAAAACATTGTTGCGAAAGCAAACTCTAAATTATTTCAGTTAAGAAAATTATTCAATGCTGGCTTCTCCAGTAAAGAATTATTAATAGCTTACGGTGCATATATTCGGTGTAATCTTGAGTATTGTTCAGTTGTGTTTGGCTATGGCTTGAACCAGAAATTAGTTTACAAAATTGAAAGTGTTCAGAAAAAAGCTTTAACCCTTTAACGTGTATGATTAACGACAAGAAAAGGCATTAAATCGGGGACGCTATAAGTATGTTGTGGTCATGGCGCGGGAGGAGAAATTCAGGAGTTTTTAATAAAACTCGAAAAACTGAAAAATCAAAAATTTAACATTGCGTTGTATAGGGAAATATCCAAATTTTTGGGAAGAAAATCTTCAAATTTAGCATTGTGTTGGCATAGGAGAAATCCCTCAAAATTACAACAAATTTTAGGTCGCGAAGAGAAAATGGTGAAAATCAATGACCTCCTAGAAACGACAATTGTCGTCCTTCCGCGCCATGACCACGATTTTTCAGGACGACTTTTGTCGTACTCCCGAATTAAACCATTTCTTTTAAAACGACAATTGTCGTCGTTACAGTTTAAAGGGTTAAGTATAATTTTCCGAAAACGAGTTGATCATTTAAATTATGTTGAATGCATGCAGGAAGCTGAGTTGATAACTTTAAATGAAAGGAGAGAATTGGCTCTTAATAAATTTGCTTACAATTTATTTTTTGGTAGGTATAGGCACTTTTTGCCGCAATTCCAGCGTGCTTCGTGCAGTGGTGTGTCATTGAGGTCAAACAAGGATTTACTATTTCAACCGGTAATTAAGTCGTCAAAATTTAAAAATTCCCCCATTAATATGATAATCAGCAAAATTAATGACGAATGGAAATCAAAATCCACGGTTTTTGGCTTGTCATTTGAAGCTCTAACCAATTTGATAGATTATAGCTAACTTTATACAAACTAAGAGTAGATAATATCTTACGTACATATATATTGTTAAGTTAAATATAGTAATTTAGCCCTTAGTTATTGTTATTTAATCATTTAAAGTAAGTTATTTCTGTTTGTAAGCTCACGAAAATAGGCTACAGTTTGGTCATTTGAATTAGAGACTCTTTTTGCATTTTGCCAGGATAGCAACTAATTAAAATTCAGCACATTGGACAACGAATCACAACAATTACAGGAGAAATACGAGCCACAAGTTATTTATTACAACGTTTAAGCATTACTCTACGAGGAAACGTCGCCTCAATTCTGGGTACCCTTCCTACCGGAAAGAAACTCAGCGAAATTTTTTATTTATGAGTTTTCCATACACACTTATTAATCATTGTTAACAAAAGACTGTGTAAATAAAACCCACAAAAGGGGGAAAAAAAATTAAAATTAAAAATCGCGAAGAGCCGTTCGTAGACTTATCCAATGAATTATTTGATAACAAATTGTACTTTTTAATGGTCATACAATTTGTGAACAGCTCTTTTTAGATTTTTTAAATATTTTTCTTAGTTACCAGAAAATTTGAAAATTTACCAAAAGAGTCTCTAATTCAAATGACCAAACTGTAGTGTGCTATGCTAAAATTTCATTTTGTGCATTCCCTAGTACTAGTAAATGAGGGTAATAAAGGCTATTATTATTATTATAATTTTCGAACTTTTTAAAGTAGGGGAGAACATTGTCGAATTTCCATTGCGGATCGCCCGTAAGGGATGCCCAGTTGTCGAAGTCTTTCGGATTTTCCCGCATGTGAATCATATGATTCAGATTTGAAGTCCCACCAAGCGATTTTCCACGAGGCCATGGCATTACCTAAATATTGGAGCAATGATTTAGATACTAATTGTTTCGAAAAATATGCCAGTTTACCTACGGTATTTTCATACGGAAGCTTGAGTTATTCTGTGGAACAGTTTTGTAGACCCAGTCGGGCATGGGATTATTGAGAATTAACCCGAATAAGTAAGGAACATCTTCCGTTATCAACGGGTCACCTCCCGCTTCAAGCAGCAACACTGCATAATAGCGTATAAATTAGAATTGCTTGTTAATTAAAGTATTTGTACGCCTTTACAATTGTACAATTTTGACCCGATACATTTATTTGGCATTTACTGAGCAGAAAAGTACCAAATATTTTCGTACTGAATTTCGTATCAAAACATTTTGAGTCTTTCTGTAGAATAAAAAACTATGTGTGTTGTATTTTTGTGTAATTTTTCAACATGTAATCAAATTTTAACGAGTTGTGGTTGTAGTCAAAAAATAAAATTTTCAAAATTTTCAAAAAAGGCAGTTTTTGGACAATATCTCGAGAACTGCTGAGGTACGACGTCGATATTCTTGTAGATTCTTTATGTACGCAAATACAGGATTTTGAGGTTTTAGAGGTATTTGAGGTAATATGGGCAAATACACAAATTGTGCATTTGTACTAGTATATTTGTATGCTATGAATTGTACCTACTACGAGTTTCATGCTATAAACCGTCTGGCACCCGTCATAAATTACTACTAGTATCTGGAAGATGTTATTTTTAATTTAGAATTACGTGTTTATCATTATGCGAAAAATTATATTGTTGTTGAAAGCGTTATTCAATTAATTTCAGTGTTGATATTAGAATGCATGTAAAATCATTACGGGCTACAAATCTATTTTTAACATGTTCTAACGGTTTTTCAAGCCTGTATTTGGTATTTAAAGTGTTCTGATACTGCATTTCAGTGCAATTCTACAATTTACTTAATACATTTAACTGCAACAACAGTCATAGAATTTGAATTAACATGTCAAAATTACTCCAACTAATTGTAATGTTTAATATCGCATTAATATTATCCGATAAGTGTAGTAGTGCTTTTGGATCGCAAAACTTCCAGCCATTTAAATTAGGTTCTTGGGAAAAAACGTATAAAATTTTATAAAAAAAACACGCCTAAAAAATAATTGACCCATTTTTTTGTCAGATTCTACCCTCCGAATAATTTCATCCGCCCCTACTCCATCTGGATTAAGGTTTGGCTGTGTAACGGAAAAAAATCAAGATTACGACGAAATTCTGGAATTGTTTGCCCAACACGATGAATCAGGTCAGAGGGAAGTTGCGCGACTGGACTTTTCCTCACCCACGCTTTTACGCACTTCCAGTTTGGATGACATCTCAGGATTATATGAATGGCCGGAAGAATGCATTTCGGGACTAATTTCATCCCCATCCCCGGAAATACCTCACCATCCCGGCACAAAAGATGAACTTGACCAGAGTCTGAACAATGGCGACGACGAATCATTGGCGTCCTTATTCTTCGGAGGGTGCAATTGTCCTCCCGGTCCTGATGGAAGAGATGGCCCAGCTGGACTTATGGGCTTAATTGGTGTGACTGGAAATCCAGGAAAAGATGGTGAAATTTATTAAGTGGCGGTAGCTACGTATTTAAATATGTACTTAAAATAATAATATGCATGTACTTTAGGAAGTAATGGGCTGCCAGGAAATCGAGGAAGGATCGGACGGAAAGGAGAACCAGGATATCGGGGTGATAAAGGTCATTTTCGTTAATCATGATATGACAATCCCTCAAACCTTGGTTGGGAATGATTTTATGCAATATGTAAATATTCTGATGATCCTTTTCATTCAGGTGATCGTGGGGACGTTGGGGATATGGGTTCCCCAGGAAAAGATGGACTGGATGGCCTCCCAGGAAGGAATGGTCGAAGCGTGACCTACGTCAGTGGTGGTCGTGGTGGAGGGAATGGTACTTTGCATACAAATTCGAATGATAATTCCACGTCATCTTCTTCAGGTAAATTAAGAGTATTTGATAATGTACATATTTAGTTGTCATACTGAATCCTACTTTATTTCAATTTAGAGCAAAATCGTCTCCGAACCAGAACCAATGGAAAAGTTTCCCAGATTCCTATCGTTGTTACAATCAAACAAAACGATAAAAAGTAATACGCCATTGTTAAAATAGGGATATCACATGATTACGAATTAAAGGAAAAATTATTTTGTGAATAGAATTTTGAAAAAAATTTAATCTGAATTTTATTTCAAACTTAAATATATTTTATGCATAATATCAATATGGAGTAGGACACGAGCTTGCTTCTAATTAGATTGAGTTTATTGGCTATAATTAATTGACCTGAATTCGCATTTCCTTATTAACTTGTGCAATAACCCACGAAGCTAAACTTTTGCATGTTAATCGCATCCTCCACCATTCGTTTATGAACAACTTTGACATCATATCTACCTTTTTCAGGAATTTGGGTTTAAAATATAAATAAGATGTTCAAGTTTTTGATCCCAAACCGTAATTATATTTTAATACTGCTCCTGATAATTTCTCCCACATTCGATTCATGGCAAGACGAAGAAGAAACACAATTTGAAGATAATTCTCCATCCGGTCACATTCAGACGGTGACAAGTGATGGCGTCTGCACTTTGGACAAAGCGTGTCAAGCTTTACAAATTGTCTCTTTGTTAACGAGACGAATTTTGTCATTAGAACAGCCTTGTAAGGAATCCAACCAAAATCGAACCCTTAAATTTCTTTAAAAATTGGATCACTTATTTGCAGTGTGGAAAATATCTTCTCATAATTTCCGCTGGCCGTCGTGCTCAAATTTGAAGGAGGGAGGCCCCTGTAACTGCACAGCTCAAAGTCTGCACGTCAACTGCTGGCGTCTTTCACTTCACGAACTTCCTGCCACCCAAACAATCCCGTTCGACACTGCATTTCTGTACTCATAAAAATATCTAACCAGCCTTAACAATTTATTCCCGTACAAAATTGTCAACACTTTTTCTTCCTGTGTAGAGATCTGAGTTCCAACAAAATCCAGGCAATTCATCGCCATTCGTTTCTCCGGCTAAGTCGCCTTGTTCAATTGTACATGGAATGTAACAGAAAGTGTGTTTTTGAAGTGATACGAAATTTATATCGTTTTTGATTGTACAGAGACGTGTCCAATAATTTGCTGGATTATTTACCAGAAAATTTATTCGAGAGTTTGGAGAGTTTAAAATATTTGTGAGTCTAGTCTAATACATAATGAAAATTGAATGTGCCAAACATGATGACAATTGACATATTACATAATTTTGTAGACATCTTCATCAAAACAATCTGGATTCGCTACCTTCAGGGATATTTCGGAACTTGAAAAACTTGGAGATTCTGTAACAATTGAAATATTTGTATAAATTGGTATGCAATTTCTTTTTGAAAACATTTTAGCGATTTGTCCCAAAATCGTCTTGTCTCCCTTCCTCCAAGCATTTGGTCTCCGTCTCCAGGAATAAAATCAACCCTTCGAGTTTTGCAAATATCTCAAAATTTCTTAAAAACCTGGAAGGATTTTTCTGCCCTGCGAAATTTGGAGGAACTGGACTTGAGTGGAAATTTTTTTCAAAGTGTGACCCCGCTTCAACCCCTCAAGAAATTAAAAAGCTTAAAGTTGCAAGATAACCAGTTGACTGTGATAAACGAGACAACTTTTCATGGCCTTTCATCACTGGAGATCATGTCACTGAGACAAAACAGAATTGAAATTTTGCCCCCAGAAATTTTCAAAGATTTAAGAAACTTGGAGAATTTAGATTTGAGTGGAAATCAAATTACACATGTAATACCATAAATATTTAAATATGTCATGTTTTTCAGTCATTTATTTTAGAACGATTTGCAATGTCCCAAATGAAATTAGATAAATTCCTCTACGTTCACCGGACTGAGCTCGGCCATGTTAGAATTGAACATGGCAAAGAATTCGTTATCAATTTTGGAAAATGAGACTTTTTCCAAGCTAAACAATTTGGCCAGGCTTTCTCTGCATGGAAATAATTTGGAGGTTCTGGAGCCTGGCGCTTTCACGGGGTTGACCAATTTGACCTGGCTGCAATTAGGGAACAACATTTTGACTAGTGTTGATCCTGCCTTGTTTCTACCGACACAAAATTTGAAAAGACTGTGAGTTTGGTTATAAATAGTGCCAAAATATTTGCAAATATTAGACAAGCTGATAATTTTCCTGTATGCAGAGAACTGAATAACAATGACTTGGCCTTTGTGGGAGACGAAGCATTCGAACATTTACATGATTTGGAGATAATTAAACTTGAGGGAAATGGATGGAACTGCGACTGCAAAATTTTATATGTCGCAAAGTACGTATGCATTGCATGTCGAACTATGAAAATTAGGCTAACATGCAAAAACATTCTGTTACATTCTGACATTTAAAACACTCTGTTATATATTTTGGATGAATTTCAGTTGGGTTCGTGACCATGCGTCCATTGTGTCTTCGTATAGTGACGACGATGCGATGAAATGCCGTGACCCGAAAGAAATGGAAGGCCGCCCCCTCCGTGAAATCTCATTTAGCGATGTTTGTCTCGAATAATGTATAAATTTAAATATGCGTGTCATTTTACTTGTGCGGAAAATTATTGCAAATATGAATAAAGGAGCTAATAATAAAATTGATCATAATCAGATCACGCTGATGCCTACGTACTTATAATGTCAGTCGTCATTAATTATTCGAAGTCAGGTTCGACAAGATGTCTGCGTCCACGAAATTGTCTCTCTTTCCAATTCTCCTGGTCATTCTGGTATTTTTCCAAATTAATTACGTAGTAGAGTTCAACAAATATTTAGTTTTGTAGCTAAATTCAAGTTCTCACAATTTCTACAACAGTCCATTTCCATTACGAGGACGAAGGGTGTGAAGCTTGGGAAGTTGGACTGTTCGGAAAACGATGGCCTCAAACCGGACTCTGACCTGCTCAACCTGATCGTGAGCAAATGTCAGCCGAAACAAGGTCAACCCGAAAAGATGATCGCGGCCGTAATTTAAACACTTTGTTTAATTTAGTCCTATTTATAAGGAGATGGCAGACTAATAGAAATTCCACTTTGCAGTGTTTGATGAAGTGTTTGATGAAGCAGCAGAAGGCGGTTGATAAGAAAGGAAAGTTGAAGCACGACAAGGCCCTCGGCGTCGTCGAAATCTTTCCCGAAAAGTTCAAGGCCAACATCACGTCCAAATTCGAACAGTGCTGCACCGACAACAATGATAAGCTCAAAAAGGAGCCCAACGGCTGCGAATCCTGGCTTCCTTTTTCAGAATGCTTCTACGATTTTGCAAAATCGGTGAGAAAATCAGCTCACAAATCCGCATTCCCGTAAATTACTTTCATTGCAACATATTTATTGTTTGCAGCTTTGTCCATCAGAAAAGGAGAGGAAGAGATTGGCCTCGACCACACCGTCCTCCGATACAACCACCCATTGATCAAAATTTTCAAATTTGTAGTTTTTATCGCAGAAATAAATTGTTATAATTTTTGTCTTTGAATTAAGTATTTTACAATTGCAACTGATTTTAAATTCACAATGATTCACATCCAAATTGACCAGCCTAACTTAGGATTAATAATTTTCCGAGGATCCTGACCCCCTCGCTTTAAAAATCACTAGTGTCCTGTTTTTCTCCGCTGAAGTCATTTCCGTCTGCTCTACATCCAATTCTGCCACGTAACAACATCTCGTGCGCACAATTGGTGCGATAAATCCTACCACAAATATGCAAATAGTTATATAATTCTATCATGATCCACTATTTAAATATTTAAATAAGCTTACTTTTCCAGCAGCGATACCGTTTATAAATCCATAACAAATTCTCCCTCTTTACCGTAAAAATGAAGAAAATGGAGACTGCTTGGAGTAAATTGATGACATCAAGTAAGACAAAGTCCCAGTTTAAGAAACCATAAGGTGAAGACCGTCCAAGAAAACATGATGAGGTTAAAGCCGAGCAGAAATGCCATCAGGATGTACAAGAAGTACTTTTGGGAACAAGGGTGCAGTTGACATTTCGTTGTTCCATAACCGGACAGGAATCCATTGTGATTGTCGTGATATTCTTCACTGAAAATTATTCGTAATATTTTTATCCTTAATAAATCATAGCAATTAGTTGGTCATCAAAATACCCGAGAGTGAAGTGCAGAACAACAGAAATCCCAACGATGATACTGGGCACACCCCACCGCAAAAAGGGGGGTAGCGAGCATAACGTTCCACACTTTTTCTATGTCTTTGAGATGAGGACAAAATTCTGAAAGTTTGAAATACTTAATTTTCATCGTCTAAAAAGTGATTTCTTGAAGAAATAATTTACCTAAACGTCGTCCAAAAGTCGAAATTCATAATGCTCATCTAACAATGCCAACAAAGGGCACAGAGGAAGGTGAAATGTCCCAAAATTGCTGAAAAATACACAGAATTAAAGTGAACAATCTAATTTTAACTGTTCGAAATAATTCCTTCAGCTCACTGACTAAAAGACAGGATCCGGTTCCCAGAACTTCCCTCGTTGACGTCAAATCAGTGATGTGCACTGTGGCCAGCGTTATAAAAAAGATGAGCATCGAAACCACAAATGAGAAGACCGTGATTGTGAATTTTGTGTTTAGGCCATATCACGAGATTCATGAGCATCGTGAGAACCAAAAAGACGATTCCGAGCAGTACGAAGGACACTTTGATTTTCGTGTTGGTCGTGTATCACAAAATTGCAATTTAAAAAAATGACACCAAAATTGTAAAGCTATTTAGAAGTTACGTTTTCGTCCTCTTCTGAGACCCACGGAAGGAACGCGATCTGATCGATTTCACTCCCATCGTAAACTGTGTCATCCCCGACGATAAATCCGTCCACGCAAAACTTGTTGTGAATTGGATATCTGTGAATAACTTCGCCACATTCGCTCCCGTCGCCATTTTCTGGTTCGAGAACGAGGATGATCATGGAGCCATTGTCGAGCAGGCGAAATCTAATCATTGCACATTTTTAATTAAAAATTTCCAGATACATATGCATTCAATCTCATATATTTCTCATTTTTTTACGCACGGTGAGGCATGAAACGGTTCCTCTCCTACTTCGCTAAAATTAATTGCTCGATAAGTGATGGGTATCAGGGTTCCGGCCGCCTCCGTTAAATTTGTAGTGGAGGGGTTTGGGATCTGTTGGAAGAAGTGGCTTAGCGCCCACTCCGGAAAGATCGTCACGAGAGGGATAAACTCGTGGCGTCCATTTCACTGGTCCAGACGGTACACAGGATTGAGTTAGTCCATCTCCGTCCAATTTTAATAATTTCCAAAGGACAACATTTCGGAATGCAAGTTTTCTCTAGACCGGGTTCAAAGTTGGCCAACCTATAAAATGATAAGTGAGATAATACATGTCATTATGTACTGATAAATGTGTGCTAACCTGAAAACGAGAGTGGCATTGTGTCCCTTTAATTTCAACCAGGATGGAATTCTAAGCTCGTTTTGAGTAATTTTGGACCCTGGACATTTTCCGATGTGGACCAAAGCGAGATTATTTTGGTCTGAGGAGGAGGAGGACGTAGAGTTATCTAAATCTTCTCCAATGACCACATGAAGACTTATCCACGATAAAGCTGCTACCTTAATTAGTAGCATGTCAATGGTGTGTCTCATTTAGTCTTACAAATACTGGACATTTTTTGCATTATAAGACTAGACTTGAATGCAAAATGCAACTGATGATAATGTACAAGACAAAAAAAATCATAAAGTTTATCAATTTAGCAAGCATTTGTGACTTATGAGAACGCCACTACCACCACCACCTCAGTTGACAGTAATTTCCTTATTTGCTTCCGGTGACGTTTTGCTAATATTTATAGCTTTATTTTCCCCCAAAGTTCCCAATGTCTAACTAACTAAACTGAAATCATTTAACGAAACAGGAACAAGGTCGTATGCAAAGTATACAATATTTTTTGTATCCGTTATCCTTGTCATGGTACAAGTTCGTTGTGGTCATTGCCGTGGGATCGATGGGGATACGTGGCGCACACACGCGTGTGCGCCACACGCCACGCGCATACGCCTTAAATTCGGCTTCATGCTGGGTAACCCTGGACGCAAGTCTAAAGTCATTGGAGTTGAATTTGTCCCCATAGCATGTAGAAGGGAGGCACAGAGACTGAGGATCGCCGAACTAGAAATTTGCAGTTTGCACAGTAATTCGATAAATTCATGTCATAAATTATAATGCATAAAATTGTATTCGACAGTAATTCTTGTTCAGAGCGTTGACAATGCGGTGAAGGAAGACAGTAATAAAAAGCCATCTCGATTTATGCTAATATAAAGAATGAGTCAATTCTTTATATATTTTATTACATATGTGTGACCCATGTTTTTCACCTAGGCATGAGGTAATCAAATCAGTAAAAGTCATGAGATTTATTTAATTTGATTTTTAGTTGTACTTATCATCGTCAGTAATCATATACATACGTGGATTACAATTGTTGATTGACCGATTGAAAGAATGTTGCTCTTATGTAGATTACCCCAATCATAAATGATGATGGGACTTGATGGGATGTGTGATTTGATGATAAGAATAAGAGTGCATCGCATATCGTTATCGTACCATATTTACATACTATGCATAGTCAAGATTTCTAGAATGGACTACACACATTAAATTAACATGGGCATACCATATATTTATACTGCCAACAGTTATTTCATATTTAACAAAGAAACGTTTCTGCCAAACCAGTATTCCGAAAACGAATCGCAAAACACCACAACGAAAGATGCCAAAGAGGCCGATTGTACATTTATTTTAGCTCTGTGAGGAGACCGCTGTCGTCTTGTCTAATAAATCCACGGACTTGTTGACAATTTTTAAGTTCATAATTTCTGACGTTAATAATAGTAATATCTTTTCAATAACTTGGAAGAAGACACTTTAAGACAGACGAGGAATCCTTTCAGTCTGAAAGAATTCAGTCAAATTACAACATGAACAACATTAACATCCCGAACGTAATTATTTTAATTAAAATCATCGTTTAGTTAAGGAACTTTTTTAATTTGAGTGAAATCCATGTAAAGGGTGGAGCAGGTGGAGGATTGAAATCTGCAGGGGACGGCAATGTTGGGACTCCCGAGAACGGTCAGGAACCACCAAAAAGGCCGGCGCCGATTGGTAATACTAATAAATAATTTTTGATAGGATAATAATGAAAATGAATCCAATATTGCAGTGATTACTGAAGTGACGACCACTCGGACAATTACGATTAATGAAGACGCAGACCTGTCCGATCCAACCGTTGCTGCTCTGGTAGCACAATTTAAGGCTAGCAAGCCGTTGTCATCTCCTGGGGCAATGAATTCTGGGGGGAGTGGAAATGTCCCAAGTGCGGCTTATCAGGAAATGGGTGGGGCTCATGGAGGGCCTCCTGCAGGTTGGATTCCTGATATTGGGGTAATTGTGCTTAGTGAAAGTAAAAATGATCTCGCTGGAAGATATTTTTAGACTGATGGTGATTTTTATTAAACAACTTGGTTTTAAGGTTTCGACAGTACATAGGAGTCATTCATACATATGTAATAATATGTGGTCAGAAGTGACCATACAAACTACGCAGAGTTATGCTCAAACGAAGTGTCCCTTCTAATGAGGCATAAAAACAAAAGGACCCTTTTAATCCCTTGTCCTGGGAAAAAGGTTGGAAAATGCTCAGCCCTCATAAAAGTCGACAAACTTAAAAATTGATAAATATGGAAAACTTTGTTAACATGCATATTTTAACACTTAGCCAGCTCTAAAAATTGCATATTCCAATGCCCGATATTTATAGTGAAATATTTATTAATTCACAAATATTTATCCAGGGGTATTTTGTCCCTCCCCGGATGTCCAACTATGACGCAGCTAACAAGCATGCCAGTGAACGTAATGTCGATTACATTTCCGAAGATGACGACGATGAGGAAAAACGCCGCCGTGAGTAAAATATTTTAAAAAGTTGAACCCACTCATTTATTTATATAACATTTGCATTTATGAAATCAAATAGGAAGGGACCAGTTCTGGCAGGCCTCGGATCTTGAGCATGGCGACAATTCAAAGGGTCGTCGACGACATCGTTCATCATCACGAGGTGAACGAAGAAGATCACTCTCTCCTAGCCTGAGACCTGCATCACGATCAAAATCTCCTCCCACTGGCAATAAATCGAAATCGGGCGGTATTTTGGCCCCGCTTGGCTCATTTTCTGAAGTCGATGCTACTTCCGAAGTAGGAAAAATGCTTACGGCCTACGCTGAGAACAGCATCTATATGAAACCCGGATCTCGAATGAAGGTGAGGATCCACACAATTCTAAAAAAGAAGGATGGAGGTCGCTTGTCCAGATTTTTGTCAGGTGGAGGAGAAGGAAGTGGACGTGGAAAAGGAGGAGGACGTGGTGGAAGGAGGAGCAGATCCAGGTCGAAATCACCAACATCTTCTGGACGCGGACGAGGGGGTTCATGGTCATCCAAGAAGGGGGGTCATGGCCATCATGAGCATGGACGAAAGTCATCTGGACGGGGGGAACGAGGAGACGAGTTTACAATGCTCCTCTGGACTAAGACTTCGCCAGAATCCGTACGACGCTTGGCATCCGGGAGAGATGGTTGTTTCGCTTTCTATGACAGATTTTCTCGAGCGTTGCCGCTGCCCATGGACAAGATGAAAGAAAATTTGAGACAAATTTTCATACTGTGCAAGGTGGCTGAAATAATTGTCATTTTAATAATTTACATATCCTCTAATCGTAATGTGCATGTGCATATATAGGTGAATCTCGGCAGGAAATACAAGTCTCCACATGGATATCCAACTTGGGGTAAGGTCTCTCATCCACCACGAGGTTCAGGCTGTGACTCTGTCCAGGCTGTCGGCAAGTACAAGCCAAACTGGAAAAAGAATGTGCAGTACAAATCGACAATTGTACCTCTCGGAGAATCAGAAAAATCCACCCGTTTTCCAACCTTTGAGGTGGACTACAACGAGTACTTCGTCTTCAAGGCTGATCAAATCAAAGTTAAATATGCGATTGATGTTGAGTTCCTTGTTCCTGAGAAGAAGGATTAGAGCACGAGAAAAATTGGATTCCAAAATGACAATTCATTGACATTTTTTTATAATCATTTATTGTAAAGAAAATAAATGAAGTAATAATAATATAAATAATACAGAATCAGTACTTATTGTCTTCCTCCTCTGTGATGGCGTCGCCGTCGCCAAGACGGTTTTGCATGAAACTTAACCACCACCAAATACTTTGTTTTAATGCGCTCCGTTTCATAAGCAATATATTCATTGAATATTAACGTATAATTAGGAAATTTAGAGTTATCAATCGTCCTTCCGCTTGGAATTAAGGCGCCTTGAAGTTCTCGATTCGGTTCCTCTTCATCAGGAATTCGCTTTCCGCAACATTTGACAGTATCGAATCCATCGGGGGCCTTGGTGTAGTCATTATGAGGCTTGCAAGCGTTATAGATTTTGCCTAATTTGACGTCACAAAGGAACAAGTATCCCTCACTTCCGGCCGTCGTTCCACCACAGTATCCGGCACTCTTGCTCGAACGGTCGGCAAAATACCTTGAATCAAAATTTTGATTAATCTTTCAGAAGTTTAGAGCTTGACAGGCTTCTTAGTTCTTAGGTTGCATTTAGTACCATATATCATATAAGGCTGCATAGTTAGGATTATTTTAATAATTAACTTACACTCCAGTGCCGAACATTTGATTTTTGATGGGAGGGATGGCAAATCCATCGATGAGGATGGAGGGGACGTACTGTTTTTGGGTTCCATGCCACAAGAGCATGCGATAGTTTTTGCTACGATAAGGGCGTGGGCGTGGAGTGCTGCTGCTTGCTGGTCCCCCAGACTGCGAGGTACCAGCACCTGCAGCGCCGATGTTGGCGAGGACATTTTGTGCCGGGACTGATGCCGCCGCCGAAGTCACAGATGGATTGTTGGTTAAAGGTGGTCGCTTGTGCTGAAAAATGCCGGATGGCTTTCGCTTAAAAGACGAGTGTGATGATGGTTCAGAATCAAATTCAAAGTCGTTGTTTCGCACGATCCGGATGATGTGAACAACTTCAATTCCAAACCCGTGATTTTGTCCATTACGCACGTAACGTGAAATTTCCTTATAATCATCCTTGTGCTTGTCGACGATATATGTCTTGTAAAGGGCTGACTTTAACTCTGCTTCTGTTTTCCCAGTTATTTTGATAAGTACTTGGATGGCTTCGGGTTGATGGTTAGGATATCGTTTAGCCCTTGCAACACGTACCTATAAGATGGATATTTAGATAATAATTTAAATTTAAATTTTTAGGATTAGAAACTTAATTAATCCAATTTACCGAGTTTCGGTGCCCCACACCTCGAACAATACCAATGTCGTCACCGTGCTCTTTACGTCCATGAACGCCGTCCTCTGAACTCGAGATTGTCTCATTTTCGCCACCAATATTGACCCTGCGAAGTTGCCTGGCGAGGTCCTTGGCTGTCTCGTCATCGCTGCTGGACGAAGTGCTCATTTCCCGACACACGTGGGGATGATTTACTTACTTGACGCGATAAAATAATAAATAATTTTCCAAAATTGTCTGTCGTGAATTATTATTAAGAACGAGAAACGTTTTGACTGGAATTATTCTAGAGTGGAATTTCCACTCCCGGAATGAGATCAAATTGTTGAATGTAGTGAAGGAGCTGCTGCTGTGTTGAGTGAGATTGACTGCCTCAACTTGCTTGATAAGATGTCAAGTTATATGATGATATCATGCATGAACTATGTGACTGTTTATCAATCACACACACATTCATGATGGGTTTAGGTGGCAGATCAAGAAGGCCGCAGGATATTTGCATGTTATTAATTCTATTATATAGTTACACATGAAATCCAGTGAGATGCAAATTAGTGCGAATCGTTTCTGTAATAAATGCACACTGACTGGACTACATGCCAAATCGTAAAATAATCAAATAGTGTGTTAAATCCCTCTTTCCGGCAACAGAATTTACCGACAGTTGATGAGTTGATTCTATTTACATTCAACTGTACCCCGATAATATGTCAAATAGATAAGTACAATAACGTACTTGAGTTTTTTTAGCCAAATAAAGTATAGTTTATATTATTTAATAGCTTATCGTGTAAGCATAACTTTTTACGAAACGATTGTTATCAGTCATTCATCACTTCATCAGCCAGAGACAATATAAAATATAATCCTAGAACAATAATAAGAATCAACTTCTTCAGTTTATTCGTTCCTTTATCAAGAAGGAGAAGGTGTTCCGATGAAGAGATGGGATCATAATATGAAGACGGCTGACGGTCCTCCTCCGCGTCCTCCACTGCCGAAACGTTCCGATGGTAATGTTGGTGATGTTACGAGCAGTATCACGGTAATAGTTTTGTGAACCAACCCATCCGTTTCTTATTGTTAATTATGAATTATGTTGTAACTAACTACTACAGAAAACCACATCGATCTATCCGAGTCTTTGTATGACGACGACGACACTAGATTCAGAGCACCACTCGTCAAGGCCCCTGAATTTGAATCAACCTCTAATAATGTCAAAAATCAAGCCATCCCACACTATCAAAATTTCTCAAGAATTGCAATCTTTCCACAGAAAGTTCAAGGACAATGTAACCATTCTCTTTGAATACGAGTTCTTGCCTCCTTCGTCGTCTGCACCTGGGACAAGTGGTGCAACTAACGCCTTTCAATCAGGAGGAGTGTCTCTGAGCTGTGCTAAGCAAATAAGTAGTCAGTGGAGAAATTCAAAATACGTCAAACTTCCCCATCAATCTGAGAACACCGGATTTCTATCATTTTCCGTCGTCAGTAGTAAGAAAAATAAGAGGTTCGTCGAAAATTCGTCCCCTGTCAAGAAATGGGATATTATCAAAACGGAGCTGGCCAAATTGAACGATTTCATAACAGGAAACGAACACTTGGGTATTGAAGTATTTATGTACATATATTAATCATAATTATTGTACTTTTGCGGATAAACTTATATCGTTATTTTTACGCCTAGATGTGACTCAAGTTGGAAAGAAAATTCATGCTTCAGTTAAAACATATAATCACAAAGTTATCAGCTTTCCTTTCCATGTGCTAAATGATTGCAGAGTTGGACGTAAATTGCAAATGACATTTTCAACAATATATTCTGCCGCTTTAGACATGGAGAATCTTTTCCCCTTTGGGATGCCCATCTTGAAGAAACATGAACCCAAGACATTCTTCTTGACACAACGTCAAGTACGCTGCATTTTAGCGAATGGTTTCTTATCCACATTCCCCAAAAGGGAGTCTGTGCCAGAATTACCAAATATTAACTTTTACAAGTAAGATCTGGAACTTATCAATCTATTATTTTTTTCTAACCACTTTGTGACCTTTATTGGTTTATTTGCAGACTATTCAGTGCAACGTCTGATGGCGAATTGGAACGAAAAATAGAAAAAACTCTATGTATACTCAACTACTTTCAGATGAGCGAGAAACACTTAGATAAAGACCCACCATTATTGTTGTCTTTCGAGCGACGTCGCCTTCCATACAGTCATCCAGATTGGCAAAATTCCAGAGCACTAATGTCCAATGTTGAGATCGTAGAGGATCAAGGAATTGAAAGTGCTCACGATAAGCTTCAGGTTGATTTTGCGAACCGATTTGTTGGTAAGGGGTTTATGCTAATACGTTTGATAATTTCCTAAGTCTAACCACTTACAAATGAATCATAGGAGGAGGAGTTCTTGGCAACGGGACGGTCATGGAGGAGATTCGTTTCTCCATCTCTCCCGAACTCATAGCTGCTCGACTCTTTACTGAAGTTTTAGATGACGACGAAGTCTTAATTATTACGGGTTCGACGCAATTTTCAAAATATTCTGGATATGGGGACAGTTTCAAGTTTGAAGGACCTCATGAGGACAAGAAAACTTTGGACCGGGACCGGTTTGGACGACGTACGGCTCGTAAGTTGCCTCGTAAATATCTCAAATCCTTCACAACAATTAAGCAAACGGTACAAAATAGTTTGCCAAAGAAAAGGAAGGACGTGATGCTCAAATTACTATTTTATTTACTGAATTAAACATTTTATATTCTTGAAAAAAATGAAGAATACAAATGTTTTATTCTTGTAGAAGTTGCTGTAATGGACGCATACCACTTTCGCCCGTAAGAATAAAATTTTATTTGAAGCAAGTGCATATAGAAATTGTCTTGGACATGCATGCATGTAATGTTGTTCTAAATATCTACATATATACGCGAATTTACCAAAATCTAGTAGTGTATGGTAATAATTATGTAATTAGACCTGCGTATTTCTGCATATTTAGACATATGTATAATTGTTATTTCTATTGTAGATACCAAGTGGATCATCAATTTGAAAAAAAATTCGTCTACCGTGAACTCAACAAATGTTTCTGTGCATTCAACCCTCATCGAAATCAGGAGCACATCGCACCAATAGCGACGGGCAACTGGGGGTGTGGTGCCTTCAATGGAAATCTCGTAATCTTTATTTTTTGTAGCTCGTATTAAAAATTACTCAAATATTTTATTTATTTCAGGAGCTGAAATTTATTATACAATGGATGGCAGCATCACAAGCGGGTCAGAGGGAGTTGCACTACTACGTAGGTTGGGAGCAAGGTGAAAGTATTATGAAAGTGGTGAAATCTCTTGGCCCCAAAGGAGCGACCGTTGGGAGGTTGAGTGAAGCTTTGAAATACTACAATGATAAAGAAATGCACTACTCTCCATTCAAACGTCGTAAATCCTTATTCCAATTTTTAGAAAATTATTGCTTTTAATTGATTTGGATACATGTATAATTTGAAATTGTCAAACTAACAAAATGTATTACATTCAAACAAGTAAACTTCTTACTATGCAATTTCAAATTCGGGTAGAAATTTTATCGTAATTCTGTCCATGTCGTACACTATGTACTCGTTCTGAGCAACTTTGTTGAACTTGTGTTGAAGGCAGACGTCGTCAAAGCGTCGAATTTTCAATGTGTTGGTTATCCTTGAAGTTGGATATCGTTGAAGTTATGTCACTGTATTGGTAAAGTAGATGGAAATGTCGGAATAATTGGGGTATTTTTTTCGGAGACTTTGAGACTTTTTAAAATTCTGATAAAAATCCCTTCCTGGCCACATCTCTCGAAAACCGAAATGAACCATGTTTTTACCCCCATGGGACAATTATTGTATACCTTAAAATAATTTATTCGTTTTTTCATGGTCTATATTGGTACAGTGTGAATTGCTTCTTGGTTAAATTTATGCCTGCATGTTTCTTGTCACGCCTGCACCGTTGATATTCACTGACGATTTACTGCAGTCTCAAAATTTGCATACATTTGATGTTGAACGTCTTATCAAAATTAATAATGCAGCAGATAAGATAGGAGCTACGTGGATTTTAGCAGGTAGTGTCCAGCTTGCAGTAGCTGAAGACGTGAGCAACTGCAGGAAAGCTGCAATAAGATGATGTTAATTATATCGCGACGAATCATACAACAGTGTCATGCACCATGACTCATGGTGCATATAAACCAAGCTATTTATGTATGATAACCCGACCAGCAAGAAGATGAAATTTCTTAATTCTTAAATACTAAAAGCTGCTTTATGTTTTCATTTGGTCCGTCTGTCCTTCTGTCTTTACACTCGTGCGTTTAGTTTAGAATTTTGAAATGCGCTTTTAATCGAAATGCATCCACGTGAGGTCAAGTTAGAAGGTGGGGTCTGTGGCCACACCCATATGGGACTCGTGAAGTTCTCTTCAAATCCGATTTTTTATTTTAACATGGATCGCTTGGTTTTCTGGCGTAGTTTATATAATTGAATAATAAAATGCATTTTCGTGCCAATTTTAACTGATTGTTCATGCGGAACGGGAATATCTGTGTAATATGTACATACATACGTACATGTTGTCCTGCGAGCTGTAGAGCGACTTGTTTTCACTACTTTGTCACGGTTTATTCGCTATTGGTTTATGCTATCATTATCGCATTGAATTGCAGCAACTTCTGATATACTCAAGTTATGAAATGGATTGATTTTAAGGAATGTGCAATTTTTTGAATCATACCAATATCGCATATCGGTCGGCAATCATAATATTAGCAGTGATAATTTAGCACCATGGAATAAAATGCTAGCGCATGGGGTTGGTCACGTTTGCCATTTACAGAACAGTTGCTCAACACAGAAATTCTTGAGTGGTACATTTCTTGACCAAATAATGACCTCAGATAATGTTCCAAATTCATATAAATTTAAGCCGTCGGGCACAGGGAACACTAGTCTTAATCGGGGCTTCACAATAATACCGATCAAAGCATTTCCATTCTGTCTGACGATAGAAAATGAAGTTTTATTTACTCTCCGTCGCCTTATTGGTGACAATTGCTCTCGCCAAGAAGGAAAAAGGCAAGTTTTAAAAATTATAAACACAAATTTTGAAATGATGTTTAGAAATGTTTAGAAATTCATTTAGCACTTTGTAGCTAAGACTTTGTAATTCTGTTTCGAACTAATCTCATTCTCAATTTTCTTATGCAGCGGACAAAACATTTCTCAAGAAGCAACAATCCATCCTCAAACTGACGTGGCGTCTCAGCCAAGCTAATGACGATGTCGAACAGGCCGAAATTTCCCAAAACTACAACCCACTCGACAATCTTACCTCTTACAGTAATCCCGACACGGTCCAGACCCTATTTGAAGCTGTGAACAGTGGAGAGTACAAAGCACGTGGAGAAATCTTCAACCTTTTCGCTGAAGAGGATAGAAAACAAGCCGTCGAACTTTTTGAAGTTCTCCATTTCGCTAAAGAGTGGGATCTATTTTACAAGACTGCAGTTTTCGCCAGGGACCGTGTGAATGAGGGTCAGTTTTACTACGCTTTTATGACTGCAGTTCTTCATCGGAATGAGGGATTCGTATTGCCACCACCTTATGAAGTTTTTCCACATTTGTTTACAAATTCTGATGTTATCAGGCAAGCTTATAAGGCTAAGATGACTCAAGTAAGTGCTGACTTTTCAGAGATTAGTGCCTTTTGCATATTTGATAGCTCTGGGCGAGTGTTAGATAACCCTAACGGGGTTCAATTCCATGGGGCCACATTTTAACCCGCCACACCCCCTCAAATATATGAAAAATAACAAAATAAGATTTTCATATGAGTAAACTCGAATTAAAAATCCAATTTTGTTTCGATTTTGATAATTTATACATGTCGTTGGTCCTAGATATAGTTATTACATCATATGCAGTGTGAAACTAAACTTTTTAAAATTTTGTGTCCGTCTTGAAAATTCGAAATTTTAGTTGTTTCATGGAAGTTTCATGAAAGGAAAACTATCAATTATTTGCTTATCTAATCTAAGATTTAATTTCGTTTAAAATGTCCTCTAAAAGCATGTTCCTCATATTCTTTATAGACTCCCACCATCATTCCGATGAACTTTACCGGCACCATACGCAATCCAGAACAGAGAGTCTCCTACTTTGGTGAGGACATTGGGCTCAACGCTCACCACTCCCACTGGCACGCTGACTTTCCGTTCTGGTGGGACTCCGACAAATACGGTGGTCCAAAGGATCGTCAAGGGGAATTATTTTGGTACACGCATCACCAACTCACCGTTCGTTTCGATGCAGAGCGTCTCTCCAATGGACTCCAAGAAGTTGAAGAACTCCAATGGGACAAACCAATTCTGGAAGGATTCGTCCCAAAGGCTACCTACAAAAATGGCCAAGAGTTCCCATCCCGCCCGGACAATATGATCTTTCAAGATTTGCCTCACATAACGGTGACTGACATGAAGCACTACGAACTCCGAATTCGGGACGGGATTGCTGCAGGATTTTTGAAGGATAAGGAGCACAACGCAATTTCATTAAATAACTCGGATGGAATTGACATTCTCGGGAAAGCGATGGAGTCTTCGGCGGATTCTATTAATCCCAATTATTACGGAAGTATTCACAATATGGCGCACGTTTTCTTGAGTAAAGTTACAGATCCAAAAAATAAGTATGGGGTAAGTTTGTTAAAATATTGAGGTCTTTAAGGGGCATTTTAATTAATTAATTAATGCATTCTTCCAGCTCGCACCCGGTGTAATGGAACATTTCGAAACTGCCACGAGGGATCCTGCCTTTTTCCGCTTGCATAAATACATGGACTTTTTATTCAAGGAACACAAGGACTATCTTGTTCCTTACACAAGAGAAGAAATCGATTTTCCTGGCGTTCGTGTAGACAGATTTGAAGTGAAGACCATAATTGATAAGGCCGACCGAAATAATCTTGTCACGTACTTTGATACGGACCACATTGACCTCGCCAACGCGATGGACACGTCAGAAACTGCGAAGGACGTTGAAATCAAGGCGCAAGTCTCACGGCTGACCCATATCCCATTCAATTATGAAATAGAGGTTAGTGCTAACTCTGCAGCTACAGCGGTTGCAAGGGTCTTCCTCATGGTGAAGAATAACTGGTATGGTGAAGAAATGAAGATTGAGGAGGCAGGATGGGGGGCCATGGAGTTGGATAAGTTCAGCGTAAAGCTTTTCTCTGGACTGGTAATAATAATTGAATATTTAACCTTGTATCTAGAGCAAGGCTGTGCTGATACGCTTCTTAACCGCAGAACACCATAAATCGGTCCAGCGTCGAATCTTCCGTTGTCTTAAATGAACGGAAGGGTTACAAACAACTACTCGCTGCTGTTGAGGACGCCCTGGAAGACCGAGGTGAATACTTTGTGGACAAGCAGCAACGGCACTGTGGCCTTCCTCGAGGCCTTCTAATCCCAAAAGGGACGTCAGAAGGAATGGCATTTCGTCTTTTCGTAATTTTCACCGACTACGAAAAGGATATTCACGCTGACAGCTTCAAAAGTGGACGCGACAGTCCTCACTCGTATTGTGGAATTTTAGGGGATAAATACCCCGACAAGAGACCGCTTGGATTTCCCTTTGATAGAAAAATTCAATCTTGGGAACTTTTTGAAACAGAAAATATGAAAGATATCGAGATTACTATTAAACACAAAAGGTCATAAACTAGCAGAACATCAATATTTTAAGAATTTGTATTTATGTATTGCATGTAAACTAAATTATATTTATCTATTTTCTAGTCTCTCGAAAGTAGATTTCTCTCCTGAAGAAATCTCGCAAATAAAATCAACTTGGTCCGTGATAAGATCTGACCCGACTGGAAATGGGGTCACCCTTTATCTAAATTGGTTCCAATCTCTTCCAGAAACTCAAAAGCAGTTTAAACGTTTCTCAAATATTACGAGGGAGCAGTTAAGCACGAATGAAGCTTTTCGGACGCAGGCTACCGCAACTATTACGAGATTGGATGACATCATTTCTAGCATTGATCATCCTACAGAATTTTGTACAAAGATGAAAAAATTAGCCGGAGATCATAAATTCAGGGATGCGAACACTAAGAATTTCAGAGTACGAAAAACTTAAAATTTTGAGGCATTTGATATGCATGCATTTTAATCCGAAATATTTATTTGTAGGATATGACCAATATTTTTGTTGAAGTGATTCGAAAACTCACCGGCAAAACCTTATTCACTCCGGCGGCTAATTCCGGCTGGAAAAAAGTTTTCGCCCGTCTCATCGAAAAGATTGAAGAAGAAACAAGTTTCACTCATGGACACATTGCCAAAGTCCAACTCACTCCGGACGAAATGATCGCCATAAAGCGAAATTGGGAAGTAATTCATCAAGATTTGACTGGAAATGGGATGGATATGTATCTCCATTGGTTCGCTGCTTTTCCGCATATGCAAAAGGTTTTCAAGAAATTTGCCCAAGTTCCAAGGGATCAATTGAAAACAAATGACGCCTTCAAAGCCCAAGCTACAGTGACGCTGCATTGGATCGATGACATGATTGAAGCAATTGACAGTCCCAGTGACATGGCAGCTGTGATGAAGAGATTGGGAAGAATGCATCAAACTAGGCACACGAATATTTATGACTTTAGGGTAAAGTTTGCAATAATAAACTAATAATGAGTACTGAATGCTATGAATTTTAGGGTAGAATGATGCTTATTTTGTTTTTATTCTTCAGGAAATGGTCAAGAGAATTCAAGAAGTTATTGGAACAAAGGTTGGCGAAGGATACACTCCAGCAGCTGAATCTGGATGGACAAAGCTTTTCGCAAAGTTGGTTGAAAATATTGGTGACGGCTTATCTGAGAAACATTAAATTTATATTTATCAGGAAACAAATTGTATTCATTATTTGATTCAATAAAAATCTCGTATTTCTCTGTAAAATGCGTCTGTTTAACAACTAGCCTAAATCTTATGCATATCTGCATGAAGTGGTCGAACCATATCCTTTGTCATCATGCATTTATTGCGGGTTAAATAACTGTAGTGGTGCTTGCAAATAATTAGAAAACCAGATTTATGCTCCAAGTTATGAGCATGGCTTAAATTATTTCTTAAGTTTCACACTACAATGATAAAGAAATACATTATTCTCTAGTCAAACGTCATAAGGATTTATTCCAAGTTTTAGAAAATTATTTTTCATTAACTTGAACACATACAATAATTGGAAATTGCAATTGTCAAAACACAAAATGTATCCCACTCAACAAGCAAACTTGTTATTATACAATTTCAAATTCTAGTAGAAATTTTATCGTAATTCTGTCCATGTCGTACACTATGTACTCGTTATACAGGAGGCCTGAGGAACTTTGTGTGGTCTGGACTGTCTTACCACATGGTATCTCAGCGTCGAGATACATCCGCCGACCGTAAACGTCTGGGACCGATTGCCCAACGCCCATGATAGAATCATATCCACTTGGAGGAGCTTGAAAAGAGTGGTTGGCTGATGAGGCAATATGGCTGTTCCCCAAGGCTACGGCACATACGAATAAGTAACCCTTCGACCCCCTAGAGGCACGAGACACGCCACAGTACTGGATACTTTTAGACGCCCGATCTGCAAAATACGTCCCAGTTCCGAACATTTGCCCCCCATGAGAAGGCCGAGAAAAGCCTCGGGAGAGAATTCCTCCAACGTTTGTTAATTTTGTTCCGTGCCATAACAATTTACGATTTGCTCTGCCACCCCCGAAACAGTTGACGTCGTCAAAGCGTCGAATTTTAAATATGTTTGTTATCCTCACGTTAAAGTTATGACACTGGGTATTGGCAAAGTAGGTTGACATGTCCTGATAGTGGGTTGAAGAAGACGATAGAACGGTACTGAAGATCATTTGGCGAAGTTCGCGCTCGGTGGTCCCAGTTAGTCTGGAGAGGAGTTGGTAGCTGGGAAACGAATTTTTAGATTTATTAGTTTATTAGGTGTTTATATTAATGCATAATGATACATACCTAAGATCAGAGTCACGCGATAGCCGTAAGCGGAAAAGGGTAGTACTTGTGGAGGTGGTATTTTCGCTATCGAAATCGACCTGTCCATCACACTTATCACATTTCAGAGCAGCACCTGCTCCATGCTCTTCCACAATTTCGTAATATTGACCGAATCGGCATTTGTACCAAAGACCCGGGGTGCCTTGACCAGTTGACGCAAACGTGGCTAGTATTTGTTGTCGTTCTGCTGCTGAAATTTCGAGACCGTGTCGCAGCACTTCTTCGAGTTTCTATACAGCATAACTACATAAATAACCTGGTACCACATTTAGGAAAACTCAGTAGCTTTATTAATATCGAACCTTAAGCAGAATATTCAATTCCGATTTCCTAAGTCCCAGATATGGCCCTTGTTCCTCCACGATTCGTAGCGCCTTGACGTAGAATTGAAAAGCTCGTGGGTTCGTATCTTTATATTTAGGGTTGGACCTTCCTAAATAGACGTCACAAAGATCGCTCAGCCTAGAAAGTTCTCGTGAAATGTCACGCATTTCCATTCTACTCAGGGGCAGCTTCCGGTTTTGAATGTTTACGAACAAGTCAATATATCTCGTGTGAAGTTTGGCAGACAATTCGGAGGTCAAACTTCCTTTTTCTCTGGATGCATTTCGACCTTGGATCAGCACTTCTACTCCAGTTTCGGCACAACCGACCAGGAAACTTATTGATTTTAAAACTTGCTCATTAACCTATCCGTCAGTCAAATAATGAGTTAGAAATTGCCGTAACTAAATTCTTGATAAAAATAAAACCTTTTTTTCAATCCAGCGTTCATTACTGTCCATATCATTTCCTCCTCTTTGGCCAAATACACCGAGTTGTGCAATTCGTGAAATTGAGGCAGGAATAATGTCCACCACTTGATTTACCAAATGGTTGTAAAAAATTGGGAAATTCCGGACCAATTTTTCTCTCGTATCGTGACATTTAAGTTTTTCAATAACTTGTCGATGAATGTTCTTCACAGCTTCATAGTCTCCAAATAATATATCTCTCTCGACAATGACATCCTCAACCTCGGCCCGGATAACGTTGTTGAATCGACGACAATAATTTATCCGAGTGTGACATCGGGGGCATTTTTTCGAGCCAAACTGATTTGTAGTTGAATTGATATGCTTTGTGAGTCCTTCCACCTCAATGGAGTGTTTGCAATCGGGTAAAAAAATGAATCTAAGCACAAAGGACATAAAGTATAAATAAATGATTACTAATTATGTGCGCATAATGATTAAAGTAAGTTATATATCGCATGAAACTGCAGGCTTACCGTGAATTTTCATCTTTCTCACGTCCCGACAATATAAACCCGGTTAACTGTTCGCTATCACATTTGCGACAATGAGGAGGGCAGGGTTCGCCACAAAATCCAACGCAAGGGTGTCCACAACGTAAAAGTTTTCGACATGGTTCATCGCATGGAGATCGATCACATAGCTCTCGGCAAAATTTGGTACATCTTTTGTGAACACATTGCCACGAGCAGCGTTCCTACACAGAATAATTATTTGCTATGATTTGCATTTCGTTCGTGAAATATATTTAGCTTTTGCATAACTTTTAAATTACATTGCAGTCTAAACAGGGCGTTCCACACTGTTCCCCACATTCGGAATGTTCGCATTTCATGTGACATTTTTTATTACAAGGTGGACACCCGTGATTAGAGCAGGGGAAATCACAACTAAAATTGGTACCCACATTAATTTTTGTAAAAACATTCAAGCATAATATACATACAGATTTGTATGAATATACGTACACATCTCCACAGATAAGAATTCGACCGCATTCTACCCCACATTTTGCATGTAGTCGGCCCTGCCAGCAAGACGAACACGTTCCTTTACATGGATGACCACACCCACCCAATTTAGTAGATAATAGATCGCTGCACGGTTCAGTACACAAGGCTGTAACTTGTGCTGCGTCGACTATGACACAAGAAAGCAAAATTTAGCAAGTGTATTTAGACGTATATTTAAATTTTTTACCTGTATTTCTAATTTTGCACGGGACTTTCACATCGTGTCCACATAAGGATCGATTCATTGGTTTCACTAGTTGCATGCACATTGCTTGCGTCGGTTGGACGGAACAAGTAACCAAAATTCTGTGTAAACAGGATGGAACATATTTCTCGACCACGGCCTATATTTATAAAGTTAAAATCATTATAATCATCACGGTACAATATAATATAATGCAAAATTTATATTTAATCCAACCGTGCAAGGTCCACACATTTCGAAACACAAGTTCTCGCATGTGTGTGAACAGGGAAAACGACGGGTGCAGGGTTCTATGCATTTGTACTGGGTGGGATCGACGTGACATGGAAGCTCTTTCTGATGGCCGCAAGCTAAGTTTCGAAGCACAAAAGTTTTGCAGGGAGGGCAAGGCGTGTCGCATTTGTGAATAAGTGAACATTGGTGACCTTTGTTTGCAGAATCAAATTGGAGAGGGTAAGTATTAAGAGCATGGTTTTCACACATTTATGTATATGCGTACATGTGTACCTGCTTTACATGCCCGGCTACAATTTTTCTTACAAGGAACGTCACTATGAACTGGATCTGTCGACGTGTGCTGACATATTTTTGGACAAGAATGATCACAACTCAACCGGATAGAGCATGGATTTCGACAAATTAACAGCTTCTTGTTGGTCTGCTCGATACAGGGGACGTCCAACTGGATTAAACGGATTAATAATATTAGACTAGAAAATCAACATGAAAGAATTCAGATGTGAATGTCATACCGTGTGCCCACAGTCAACCAGTGTTATTTGCACCTTAGTCTTACATTTGATAACATCCGGAGAAAGGTGACACTCAGAATTCTGCCAGTGTCCACAAGGCAGTTTTTTCTCAACGTTAATTTTACAAGTTTGTGATCCCGGATCGACATGACACTCCAAGATTTGTTGGTGTTCTTGACACGGAAGTATTCTGCTCATCTTGGCTTTACAGGTGTACTCGGTTGGGTCGAGATGACACGCTAAATCTGCTTCATGCCCACAGGGAAGTTTCCTATTCATCAAGATTTTGCATACATATTCGGCCGGATTTTCACAACACAACATCTCTGCGGCGTGGCCACATTGGGGAAGCGTTTTCACCATCGTGACTTGACAAGGGGGGCATTTTTTGAAGCAGACGGAGCGACATGGATGGTCATTCAGGCAGGATATGAGGCAAGGCTTTTTGCAAGAATATTTTTGATGTCCGGGATCTTTGGTGTGGGAAACTTTCTCGCAGTGGTGACTACAGGGAAGTATAGCGTTGCACTTGGGTAAACCACCCCCACTTCCAGGAGGGGAACGGACATTATCTTCAACCTGCTTCAACCCAATTTGAAAATCCATACATGTGTCTGTCTCATCAGTTTGTTCATGAGGATCCAGGCTGTATAGTTGCAGTTTGTGCATAAGAGACCGACAATCACGCAGTATCTGAGAAGTATTAAATCCTGGATTACTTTTTGATAGCCAAGACACGGCCCCAATCGCATTAGTGATAAGGGATGGGAAAAACTCGATTGTCTTTGGGAGCATGAAATTGATCACAAAGACGAAATAGGTGACCAAATTTCGGAGAAAAGTTTCTGGCGATTTGTCAATTTCTATAAAAGTGCTGCAAAAGTGCAAAAGTAAATTACTGACTGTTGTATATATTACAATTACTGTCAATCAATAAATACAAATAATATTTTTAGTCATAATTACCCCTTTAAGTTTCTGATTAATGGTGGAGGAGCAGATTTTTTAGGTGTTTGACTCATCATAATTTGGAGACATTGTTCAACTATGCTTTTCCTAAAGTTTTCGACGATAGTGGGAGCACAAATATCAATTTTCGGAGCTGGTTCTCCACCTCCACTAATGACTTTTTCTACCAAGACTTGCATTATCAAATGCAAGTTGTTTCTCGGATTGGATGGGTTGATTTGGTCAGAGTTTAAAAAATCTTCCCAGTCTAGCTTATCCTTCTTGATGGAGAGGATGACCGTGTGTTGTGGAGAGGAGAGAAAGCCATGCAGCCGTTTGAATCCAAATACGGGGCCTTTTCTGTTAAAATTAAAAATTAAAATTCGACAAGCAATGTAGATATTGATAAGATCTAATTATTATTTGTTATACGATGGATTTATTTTTAAAGGTTTATAGTACCTTTCAAACTGTTTTCGATTTTCGTTATGATCAGGGATAGATCTTGGTAAAACTTCCTTCCCGTGGTCATTTTCGTTAAAACCGTGACGGTGGTCTTCTCCATGATGTTCGATATTGTTTTCGATGCCATGATTCACATTTATTTTACCAGAATTGACGACATGACCACCTCGTTTACTGTTCCTCCATCGATTACCACCACAGCCACGTCCTTGTCCCCCTGCTTGATGTTGTTCTTGTTGCTGATAATTTTCATTATTTGGTACATGGCGTCCCCCCCGGTTATTGTAAATGTTTCCACCTCCACGATTTCCATAATTTTCATAATTATGATGATAATCTAGCAGCGGAGGAATATCACTACTATTTGCAAATATCCGTGCTCCATGACCTTTTCCTCTGCCACGGCCTCGACCGCCCCCTCTTCCTCGACCAGGGTTTGCAATCCCCTCCATTGTGGATGAAAGATCATATGCTAATTAAAATTGACACCCCGATGTAGTGCCGGGGACGAATATGTATGACATGACCTGACCAACCAGATTTAACCTCGTCAAAAATAGCCTGAAATGAAAAATAAAAAATAACTCAAGATCAATGTACCCACACTGCACGACTGTATCAAACCAAGTAGAATAGTCTATTTTGTGACCGAAAAAGTGAAAAAATATTTTCCTTACTTATCTTAGTTAATAATCCTGATGGAGAGAGTCCTGGAGTAAATATTACAAATTGTAATATTTACTCCAGTACTGTATTATCATCGCCTTTAGCTATTGTAATTTACAATAGCTAAAGGCGATGATAATACAGTGTGACTAAATAAAAGTCAACATAAAACTGAAAGAGATGGGATTGGATAAATAATATGAGTGAGATTGAGGTTTCCTTTCTCATGTGCATATCTCAATTTAATCTGCTGACTGGCAATGTTATAACAAAACAAACCTCCAGTTATCAAATTTCAGATAGCATGCAGAGAGAAAGAGAGAGATGAAACGTTTGCATTAAAATCCACCGATTGGCTATAGCATATGCGTATAGCAATATGGGGCAAGTTATTAATTGTTGGCTGCACAGAATAATTTGCACAGTGCACGCAGTTGTAAGAAAAAGACAACACTATGCTATTAATGTGCAATACTACGTACACAGGCATGGCACAATGTTAATTTTGGGTTAAACTTGTACAAAGATTTGATGCACAAAAACACCGCTGTCCTGCCGGTAAAGTATTTCTTTCTTTGATGCCGCTACAGAGACCGAATTAATGGAATGCAAAACGTGCAGCTATCGTTAGTTCAGTCAAGGTATTGGATTCCATCATTCCAGAAAATTGCTGGACAAGATCGGACAACAATTTAATTCAAATTGAAACCTAAGTTGATGTACTAGTTGACTGCACTGCCGGTCGGGTAAGTTAATGTTTATCATTTTTATCGCATTTATAATTTGCATTCATTGTTAATAGTTAGTGGGCTTATCTATCAGGTTAGTAGCAAAGTAGGCTTTCGACAAAATGAGCACCGCCGTTACTGCTCGTAACTCCATCGTGGTACTGACAAATTCTCAAGTACTTTGGTGCTTTGTAATTAATTTGACTTAATTGTGCTCTAATTAACCTGCAATGTAGCACCGACCAGCTCTTACTCCTGCGGCTATAACACTTCTTCGCCAAATCACCGGAAAATCGGAAACGGAACTTCAAAACATTCTCCATCAAGCTAAGATCCTTCCCACGTCAGACGAGAATTACATAAAAATCGTGGAATATGTTAGGAACGGTCAAGAACACGCGTTTGGAATTCAGGTCGTCAACATCATTCAAATCGACAGAAACAACGACCCAGAATTTGGACCCGTTATTGACGGAAGTTTAACTGCATCTGAGTTTCGAATGATCCTTTGGCACGGGACGAAGAAAAACTTTGTCGGCCCAATCCTCGAAAACGGATTCGCTCCACCACCCGACAAGCAGCAAATGTTCGGCAGGGGCATGTAAGATAATTTAAATCTAATAATAATTATTATTTAGAATTCTTCACCTGCTGAAAACAATTCCATTTAAAATTTTTATTTCAGATATTTCGCCGATCGCTGCTCCAAAAGTTCGCAATATTGTGACGGTACATCACCCGGAACTGAGGGATACCTGTTCCTCTGTGACGTGAAAGTGGGCCGGATGTACAAACCGAAGGGGGCTCATCGCGAATACAGGCAAACTCCTCATCCAAATTTTGACTCCGTCAAGTGCGTTGGGAAATTTATTCCGGATTGGGATTCTTGCAAGGAGATTGACGGGGTGTTGCTTCCTTCGGGGGAAACAAAGGTTAATACAAGATTCAAGTCGTTTGCGGTCCAATATAATGAGCACTGTGTATATGAACCGGAACGTATTAAAGCGAAATACTTGGTTGTAGTTAAGTTTCAAGGACAGAAATGTTAATATGAAAATTTTTTGACTTTTTAAAAATACTGAATTTACAAGCATTAATTTAATTATATTTATTGCTGAATTGCTTGTAAATTATTTTTTAGAATGCATAAATAAATTGTTGGACGAAATTTTGTAATTTTGAAATATGTTTGTTCTCTGTTAATTATTTACGTGTTTTCTCATTTTTTTCCTCTACTGCTTCACAAATTTCAACATCTACAGCAAACATTACTTCAATTTGTTTCGCATGAAATATCAAATATTCATTAAATTCAAGCAGGAAGTCGCGATAACGAGCATTCATCACCGTTTGGCCACAGGGAACGATCTGCTTATTTTTATTTCCAACCTTGACATTTTGGTCCCAATTAGGTATAAATTTACCATTTCCTTTGACGGAATCTGATCCACGCGGTGGTCCATTTTCGTCTAAATGCCAACGTGAATATCCATGTGGTGACTTGTACATTTTTCCAACATCAACTTTACAAAGTAAAATCAATTCACGCCAGCCATTCCGCATTTCCTTGATTGGGCGTGGCAGTGCACGGCAGAGGCGGTCGTAAAAGGCGATGCATGTATCTTTTCCTTCGGCCAATTTACGTACCGATTCGGGTGTAGTTTTTAACCACAGCAGCATTTCGAAAGTGGGTCCAGAAGTGAACGCCTTCCCGATAGAGTTCAACACTGATGAGTCTTTTTTCCGCTTGTAAATTTCATGAACTTTGGTCATCTTCTTATTTGGTCCGAAATTGTTAGGAAGATGAATACCATTTTCTGCGTAGTATGATATGGTCTTGAATGTCTCAGTAGCATTAAAATCGCTCTCAACTTTAATACTCACGAACTTGCCCAATTGGAACAATTCTTGGTTAGGGTCCGGAATTTTTGAACTGGCTGCAGGTGTCAGAGGAGGCGACGAATGAGACGACTGCCTATTGTAACTTCCTCCTGCTGCGGCGACCGAGGCGTATGACGATGACGATGACGATGACCATCCCAATGTTACGGACAACGATGGCTGCTGCTGGAAATTTTGAAATGATCGGCTCGAAGTATCTGACGCCTGATGGTGTTCATTTGGGTTTCGTCTTCGACATTGGATAGAAGCAGAGGATGACGCATTCTGTTGTGAAAATTGTACAGAATCCAAATATGATGGTTTCTTCAGTCCTACTTAAATGTGAATATTAACTAACATTGGAAAGGCCTTAAAATAATGTTGGTGTACATTATTTATTTATAAATTTACCTTTTAAAGCCAACTGCTGGTTATATTTTGCTATCGCCTCTTCGTCATCTTCGGAAATGTAATAGTATTCGTCGCTACTATTGCTATCAGTATCGCTCTTGTTCATGTTCAACTTGGCGACGGCCATTTCATTTTGTCGATGAAAGAAGCTACTTGCCGATTCGGCGGAACTACTGACCACACTTCCCCTTTGTGATTTCCTGATTGCAATAGCCTCGTTGTTGTTGGGGTGCCGCATTAGAGGAAGAGTGGCCGTGGCGTTACTTATTTGTTCAAAGTTGTTTCTAAGGTCAGCCACAGATCGAGTTGGAGTTGGAGTTTCTTCGAAATCTGAATAAATCAATCAAACATTGTTAATAGTTGTGGTTTCGTTGATAATTTCGAAGCGTACTCCTTTCCTTTGCTACTTTACCCATTAAATCACGATCTTCGTCTTTTTCCTGATCTTTCTCCATTTCTATAGTCCACAAGTGGATCAAAAGACTTGAGGTATTGTGAATAAGTAGATGAAACGAAATGAAATGATGAATTAATATTAATGTTATAAGAAGATATGAAGAACCACCAGAAATTGTGGTTTATTTTCAATTTTGGGGATAGTAGAGGGAAAAACGTAATTCTTTGTCATTCCGCCCAATCCATTAAATTGAGGAGTGGAGTAACGAAAGAATCATAAACAATTTGTTCTTATCTCTCTTTTCTGCAGATTTGTGAAACTTGAGATGAGAATGTGAGACTTGATCAAGTTTATTGCAATTTTGTTATCGTCGTCGTCTCACTTTGCTTTATTATTTACTCTACATTTTGTCTCACCACATTCTGAAAATGGGTCTTACTTAATTATTCGGAACCTTATCATTTAAATAAATAAATTATATCTTGATGTGCGCATTTTGCACGCTGATTTTAAATTTTGCATGTTTAACAATGAAATTCTTTATTCATGTCATGGATAAAGACTGTTTGAAATCATCGATTCCATAATTTTCAAAATTTATTTATGCAATTTTTCCAATTGTCAATTTTGGATGCAGTGAGAATATGAGAAACTTCCTCTTTCATTTAGTATAGGAAAAAATAGTTTCATTCGATATGATGATCTCTACAGACAAGTATTTTTTGAGTGTCTTTCTTCAGTGCAGTTTACAGTTTAGTTACAGGATTAGTCAAGTTTTTATTCATATGTAAATGTAATAAAAACAATTTGTTGGCTTATTTGCACATGTATATTTCACTTGAATGTATTTGTCAGTAACACGGCCGCTATATACACATTTATTTCTTAATTTGTAAGTGAGACGGATGAATGGTGGATCAACTTTAATCATCGGAATAAATTATAAATTCAAAGGTACTTACAACATGTACCAATCGACAAACGTAATCTACACTTACTTTATTCAGCCTTTATCGTCATTTTATCGCTTTTCCTGTTTACCATGTACACTCGACTAAAAATCTAAGAATCACCCGATCCGGGTCATATACAATATATTCACTGTATGATAAGTCAAACGACGGGAATCTTGAATTTTGACGAGTCTCGCCACACGGTAGGATAGCCCCATTATAGGACACGTTCTGACGCCACGTAGGAATTTGAGATCCGTTCCCTTTCACTGCGAGAAAATATCATACACGATTCATGTTTAATTGCATTACTAAGGATAAGTAATTATGTGTTGTACTTTAGTCTAATTCTAAGCAGTTGATAAATTAACAATTTAGTCTGCTACTTGTAACAGATGGATATTTATTATTTAATTGTACTGTTATGTATTTGATTTCCTGTAACTTAAATCGTTGTGGTCTTTTCCCTACCCGTGTGAAATCCGGGAGGTGCAGATGTGTAGTTCGAGTGGGTGTGATGTGCTTTAAAAACCTATTAAAATGAACAATGAGAATTTCGACTATGAAATTTGATGATACATTTAATGACGAATTAAAATAATACAGCAACATTACTTATTTATTTAACTCACTTTTCCCAAGTTAACTTCGGCGATGAAAAGATAACCCACATTACTTCCGGTCTTTCCAGTGTATCCTAAGCTCTTTCCAATTCGATCCGCAAAATAAATCCCACCTCCGAATAATCCCCCACTTCCGGGTCTGAATCCTGTCTGAATAATTCCTGGAACATTGCCAGGCTTCGTGCCATGCCAGAGCAGCATTCTATAGGATTCTGAGAAGGGACGCCGTTCATCTATATCAACAATGATCATCTATATAATAATATTTCATCATAATCGAAATTGTAAAAACGATTATCAATACTTCTCCGACTAATTTTGTAAATATTCTTGATCCCCACGTTCACCCCTCCAGAACTTTTTGTCGCATAGTTGTTAATATGCTGATAGATTTTGCAGTTTGGTTTGAGTCTCCGAATTTTTGCATATCCTTCCAAAGTTTGTGCCGTGGTTCCACATTGAGCCGCAATTAGGTCGTAACTTCGTTGCCCTTGTCCTACCGACGGAGCCACGCCATGAAACGCCTGAAACAAACAGAACAACATTGAACTAAACATTGGATTGACGACGACATGATCCCACTACTACCCTTCCCATAAAACAACGCCTACAAAGTGCCATCACCACCCAATTAAAAATTTATGTCAAATAATTTGACTCAAATTTAGTTTTAAAAAATCTATTCAAATTAAATTCAGAGATTTTTACAAGTAAAGTTTAATTTTCTTTACAATTTACCTCGTCAGCCGGCTCGTATTCCTCAAACCTTTGCTTCGGTGACGCCATCCCAATTTTGACTTTTTGTTTCTAAATTTTTCTAATCAGTAGTATAAATTGGATGAATTGACTGTCTCTGTCTCCCACACAAAATATGTACAAACGTTTCATTAATCCTCGAAAATATGTATATGATTTGATTTCCGTACCTACCACTTCATTGTATTTGACGGAAGGAGTGATGATAAATTTGTTGTTTACTCACTCAGATAACCTGATCCATCGCTGATAGTGTCAATTTAGATAAGAAAAGCAAGTTGCCAACACGCATTCCTCAAGTAAAACCACCAAACCCCATCTAAAATGAATGTGAAGATAGCGATATCGTTACAGCCAAAGAGAAGAAATACGTTTTGCATAGAATTACAAAAGTTGAGATAGCGCAGCAGATAGAGTGGCAAGCAATGCAGTCATACATTCATCATTCATAAGCACGTACAGCAGCGAATGCATATTGCATACTTCTATTCCTTACCTATTCTTATTCCTTACTGCCCAATATTTATCCAGTTTAGTTGATCCGGCGAGGAGAGTGAGTCAGTCGTCATTTACAATTTGCGAATATTATTATGCAGAACACAAGGAAGGGCCACGTGGGGACAGGCAGTTCTTCGCCCCCTCCGCAAATCCCGTCGACAAGTTCCGCACTTTCTGACAACAATCCCCCGCAAAGTGCAACTCGTCGCAAAATGATTCGTAAATCGGGACATACAAACGTGGAACCAGTAACAATTCAAAACGAATGCTGGAAACTGCTGAAGGAGTTCATAACCAATTGTGATCGTAAGCGACAATCAATTTACATTTTCCGACAATAAATATTTAAAAGTAGAAATGCAAGCAACTAAAAAAGACTATTTTCTCACATAGACGAAGACGAGCTGAGTATATTTAAGTTTCTCACCAATTGTATGGTCACGGCTAACCCATTCCTTGAACAGATAATGAACAATTTCGATATTTTGAAGCATCTTTGCGAGGAAATTGCTTCCGTACCCTGTGAAGACTACTGTTTAAAGCAGTTACTTTTCAGTATTATTGAAATTGCGGAAAAATTTCCCATGCTGTTTCCCCAACCGATAAATATGCTGCGTCAAAATGAAGCCACTTCGGTCACAATTTCTAAATTGCAAGCATGCTGTATTTTGGCGAATGCATTTCTGTGCACATTTTCAAACAGAGTGGGACATCCAAAAATGAAGAATTACCCAAGGATTAATTTCAATGAGTAAGATTTGTCAATCTTATAGTTTACTCTTGTGTTTTATTGATGAATTGCATTTCATAAATTTTCAGACTTTATGTTGACGACGCCCAACATCACAAACATTCTTGGCAAGCTCTAACCCAATCGACAAAACTGGAAAAGTTGAAATGCATTATGAACTACTTTAGTAAAAGTTTTGAACGACAAGATACCCTCATGGACGAAGACGGGTCGGATGAAAGTGACGACATTATCATTTATGAGAGAAAAGTTCTCCTAGAGGGAGACGAGGTTGACTGGGAACATTCTCAACAGCCATTCGGGAAAATGCAAGCGTTCAGCGAAGGCGCTATAGAAGATGCCGAGGGACGACTTCAAGTCGATTTTGCAAATAAATTTGTCGGTAAGAAGGGTTAATTAACATTAACATACAGATTCATACTATAACAGTGTAGAGCAAAACATTGGCGATTGAAATTAATCCATTTGATTTTTTAGGAGGAGGGACCCTTGGGAATGGTGCCGCTCAAGAGGAAATCCGCTTTGTCACGTGCCCTGAACTTATCGTCGCCCAATTTTTTACAGAATGCTTGGGTGATCATGAAGCCCTTGTGGTCCGTGGTTTCGAGCAGTTCAGCTCTTATTCTGGATACGGATCGTCATTTAAGTTTGAAGGTGATTATGAGCAGGAGCCAAGTCTGATAAACCAAATAGTCATGTTGGACGCATATCGCTTTCCCAAGTACTATAGCATAATAGCATGTAATTTGTAGACACTTTATTTGTTATCGCCCTTCGTTTTTTATTTTATTATTTTGTATGTTTTTTTACTCAGAAATTCGCAAGCAATGCAATACTCTGATGAACATGTTGGACGTGAGCTATACAAATGCTTGGCTGGATTTAAATCAAAACAGGAAATTGACATGATTCCACTCTCGAAAACTGTAGCGTCAGGGAAATGGGGTTGCGGCGTCTTCCAGGTTTGTTTGTTTACAAACAATAAAATTGTTTATTCACATCAACAGAGATCAATTCATTACAAATTGGTATTTTTGCAGGGGGAACCCGAATTGAAATGTGTCCTTCAATGGATGGCCACCTCGGTTGCGGACAAGAATCTAGAACTGTACACATTTGGTGATAATGACCTCACTCATAAACTGAACGAATTATCGAAGTTGGTGAATGATCACGACATCAACGTTGGATTCATGTACAATCTGACTCAAAAGTTTGGCGACAGTCTTCGACTAAGCAGGAAACCATTTTCTCGTAGCTTGATAAAATTTCTTACCTCGGAAATTGTTCCTGATACTACAACGAAAGTTGGACGTCAGAAGCAGAAAAAGTACATGCGTAGGAGCATAGCTGAAGAAACAGGACATTTGGTGCCTCGTTCTGAACAAAGTTCTGATCGTAGTCGCAGCGATTTGTTTTTGTTCTTGCAAATTCCCACCGTAATTATAAATTCGGTCTTGTCTTTCATGTCCAAAGTTCCACCTTTGAATTGGGTGGTTGCCCAATTTGGTAGTCTCGTTCAACACGGCTCCATTTATGTTTTCGGATTTCTCTCTAAATGCTATCAGAAATTGTTAAAAATTAAATCTTCTCAAACTAATATTCAGGCTGCTTCCCGTGTTCGCGACATCGAAAAGGAACAACTAGACCTAAGCGATTCTGAGGATGAGTGAGTGGCTTTTTATAAGGGCACACAAATAATTTCCAATTTATTATGTAGTTGAAGCTAGTAAATTATCCTTTCCAGATATGTCAAGCATATTTAACTAACAATAAATATCAAGCTTGAAAATTTTGAAATATTGAAAGAAAATCTTCATTTAGTCAATTAAATACTGCTTACACACACGTTCTAGCTTATGAATTGTCTCATTCTGCCTCAAACAAACATATTCTCTCGATCAGTCTCAATTTACCTCAATCTCATCTAATGTTAGTATTGGAATTAAATAATTAGTTCATGCAGTATAAGATTTCTCACGTAATACTCGATCCGTGTAGGTTCATCTCCAGATTTTTGAAATACTGTAGTGAATCTTATGCTTAGGATAGAAATTATAGTATCTGATAATTTCCAATTGTTGAAATTCTTCATATTTTTGTATACACAAAATGAAATCGATCTCTCCCCTGCATTGTATTTCCTGTTGCGTATATACTTACAGCAAGCGATCGAACAAAGAGATTTGGTTGGATGGTTGGAGTAGGACGGCTGACAGCGTAGCCATTGAATTAGCAGTATAAAAAGGACAAAGTATGGTAAAAACCACACCCTTTTTGCACACACACACCCATCCTGACCAGATCCTGTTGATAAGGGTTTGTTGCCTTATCTGACCTTTGCATGAGGGCATATCAGACCATATAGTTGAATCCCATAACAAACACATATAAATACTATGAGCATCACTATAATCCGTATAACAGCCTGCGCCAACTATGTGTGATTTCCCATAGTGGAACAACCCACAATGTTGTACCGCCCGCCATCTACCATCTACCCTATGCTACCGTACATCATCTACTTTTTTATCATCTATCTTTTTTTTATCATCTACCTTTTTTTATCATCTACCTTTTTTTTATCATCTACCTTTTTTTATCATCTACCTTTTTTTTATCATCTACCTTTCTAAAAATCTCAAATTCCCCAAAAATGTTAAAGTGCCCCAAAACTCCGGCATTTATAAATTCACCCCCGAAATTTTTATGGGGCAATGTGAGATACATTGGGGCAACGTGAGATTTTATTTCATATTGGGGTATCGTTCGTTTTTTAGCGAGCGAAGCGAGCAGGTTAGGTTAGATCTGCTAGGTAGGGAAAAGTGTGAAATGTTTAGTTAGCCAACCTAACTAGCTAGGATAGATACAACCTAGGTAGCTAGCTATCCTAGCGAGCTAGCTAGGCTAGGTAGCTCTGCTAGCTAGGCTAGGTAGATGTGCTAGCTAGCTAGGCTAGGTAGATGTGCTAGCTAGCTAGGCTAGGTAGATGTGCTAGCTAGCTAGGCTAGGTAGATGCGCTAGCTAGCTAGGCTAGGTAGCTGTGCTAGCTAGGCTAGGTAACTCTGCTAGCTAGGCTAGGTAGCTCGGCTAGCTAGCTAGGTTAGCTAGCTAAGCATTTCACACTTTCCCCTACCTAGCAGATCTAACCTAACCTGCTCGCTTCGCTCGCTAAAAAACGAACGATACCCCAATAGGAAATAAAATCTCACGTTGCCCCAATGTATCTCACATTGCCCCATAAAAATTTCGGGGGTGGATTTATAATTTATAAAACCCGGAGTTTTGGGGCACTTTAACATTTTTGGGGAATTTGAGATTTTTAGAAAGATAGATGATAAAAAAAGTAGATGTTGAAAAAGTAGATGATGTACGGTAGCATAGGGTAGATGGTAGATGGTGGGCGGTACAACATCAACTCACACAAAACATCTGATTGGTTTTCTGCTTCACAACAACGTCGTCGTTCATATTTCCGTAATAAAAATATATATTTCTGGATTTTCACTCGGACAAATTTTGGAAAAATATTTCTCAAATAGTTGGGTAAGTTGGTTTAATGGGTTTTGCAAAGTTTTTATTTGACTGGAAATGCTAATATTTGTAATTAATTTAATTAATGGGATTTAATTGCTTCAATCTGGAATTTTAATTTTGATTATAAAATGATAAAATTTCAGATTGATCAGGCAGATTGGGAAGTTTGATAAGTTTCATTACTTATCAGAAATCTGGAAACATCAAGTTGAACAAAATCGTTTAAGAATTTGGTAGGAATTTTGTGGGCTTGGCTTGCTGTTCCAATTCTTACAAGCGACATTTTGTGGAGAATATTTCCATCTGTTTTGTTTTTGTTGATTGATTAATAAGTCAATTTTCCTGTGTCACCTCAATTTTTAAGGGGAATTATATTATCGTCGTAATTATTGGCACAATAATTATCGGACCTCCTCACCTGTCTTCCTCACCAACCACCACCCAACCCTTCACCCTTTTGTCAAATTTTGATTAAAGTGTCGTCCTTTGTGAATCATTACAACGGAGAACGCACGGATCGAACTTTGTCATCTTTTGCTTTTGTGCAAATCTCTTTGCACAAGGCGAAAGAAGACTGACCCATTTGGTCCATAGGCCATTCCATAAGGTGAGTCGGGCCGTATTTTGTTATTACATATGTGTAGCTCTGGTAAATAGAGTCAAGGTGTACCAATTTAGTCTGATTTGTTCAGGTGAAATCAGTCTGGCCTCCTTCGGGAGGGGGGAAGGGAGAAGGGGCTTTGGGCAAGCTCCCGAAGACTCTCCGCCCAAAAAGAAGCCCAGGGTTATCGGCGGAAGTGGTAGTGGTAGCAGCACTAGCGGCAGCGCCAGTGGAGTGGTCAGCGATAATATGCAGACCAACGTTAGTTGATTGACAATTGTTCAACAATATATTCAAATTTTATGAAAATGAGATACTTATATCAATGATTTGTACCTATTTGTTCAGGTTTCGAATGGTACTGCGTCTCCGAAAGCGAATGGTGTTACAAATGGAGTTCACGCAGATCACGATCACCACCCCGTTAACTCAAATGTTGGAGATAAAAAGCCCAGTGAAGACATTGTCCGAATTATTGGGCAACATTTGCTTACAATGGGTCTCACGTAAGAATATTGCTATTAGTAGTTTGTGTGGTAGGGAAGATTTTAAAAATTACGGATTGATTGTATAGGAAAAGCGCTGAAGCGCTGATGGATGAATCGGGATGCCGAATGGATCATCCAACCGCTGCAAAATTTCGTACACATGTAATGCACGGCGAATGGAGTCGAGCTCACAAGGATTTACAAGAATTGAGAAATTTGTTGGAAAATCCAGAAAATCTATTGGTTAGCATGATTTTTATAATTTGGATTTAACACAATACGATTAAATGTTATTAGGCATGTATTATTAATGTAATCAACTTTTATCTTTTAGGAGATGCAGTTTCTTTTGCTAGAACAGAAATACTTGGAACTTTTAGAGGAAGGAAAAGTAATTGATGCATTGTCAGTCTTACAATATGAGCTGACTCCGTTGAACCACAAGACGAGCCGTGTCCATCAATTGTCAGCGTTTATTATGTGTTCAACTCCGGAAGAGGTGCGTGAACAAGCTAGCTGGAAGGGGAAAGAGTCCAGGATCAACCTCATGGAACAACTGCAAGGGTTTTTGCCACCCTCTGTGATGCTTCCTCCTCGCAGATTGTACGTTACTTGACTTTACAACATTTACATGCATACAGTCCATTTATTTACGATACGACCCCGACGTCACCACTGCAATGTTATTAGTAATGAGAGTGATGACGTCGAGGATCGTATCGTAAAAAAAACAGGAGTAGTTATGAAATTCACAATTCACTTATGTGCTTATCCACGTTTTTTTGACAGGGACGCACTTTTGCAACAAGCCATCGGTTGGCAAACGGACCTTTGTCCATATCACAATAAGAAATGGAACTTGGAAGATGTCTCACTAGTTGTGGATCATAAATGTACAAAGGATATGTTTCCCTCCTGTACAGTTCAAGTTTTGAACGATCACAGTGATGAAGTTTGGTTCTGTCGATTCTCTCCGGACGGCACTAAACTCGCGACTGGTTCTAAAGACAACAATCTCATTATATGGGACGTGCATCCGGTAAGTCTAATTATTAAATACAAATAAAAGTATACACAAACCAACGTTCGTACTGGAATTTACTTCGTATTTATGTAGACGGAGCTTAAATTAAACCACCGTCGAACATTAGAGGGCTTTCAATACGGTATTTCATACCTCTCATGGAGTCCAGATTCAAACTTTTTGATATGTTGTGGACCCGAGGATACTCCAGAGCTTTGGGTTCGAAATATATTTATTATCGTTGATTATTTAGTTCCGTAAATTCCTACTGATATTTATTCGTTGTCTTATTGGAGAATTAATTGAGAACTGGTGTTCATATTTAATAACAAAAGGTTTGGAATACAAATACCGGAGATCTTCACATCAAGATTGCACCTGGACCAGAAGATTCTCTCACATCCGCAGGTACGGCTTGTTTAAATAATACTTAAATAACATTGTATACTAATTAAAACACCAACTCAACGTTCCCACCAGCTTGGCATCCGGACTCGAAGAGATTTGTTACGGGTGGAAATCGTGGTCAATTTTACCTCTGTGTAAGAACTATAGAACTTACTTTTTGATGCTGTTACGCATTGCGACACTTTCGAACTCTTGTATTTTTACACAGGACTTGGAAGGAAATGTGCTAGATTCCTGGGAAGGTGTTCGCGTCCAATGCTTGGGTTATCGGGGTGATGGGAAGACAGTATTGGCTGCAGATACTCATCACAGGATAAGAGGCTATTTGTTTGGAACTCAGAATACAGATCATAACATGTCAGTACCGACCAAGCATTATAATTTATGCATATAAATTAAAGTTCTTCTTGCTTTGTATGCAGTTTAAAGGAGGAATATGCCATCATGAGTTTCACAGTCGATTCAACCGATCGGTTGGCTCTTTTGAACGTAGCAACGCAAGGCGTTCACCTCTGGGATCTTGAAGATCGCTGTCTAGTTCGAAAATTTCAAGGGGTTACTCAGGGATTTTACACCATTCACTCCTGTTTTGGTGGATATAATCAGGACTTTATTGCATCTGGTTCTGAAGGTACTTTTTGTTATGATAAATTAAATTCTGTTGATTTAAAATTGTTACTTAATTATGCTAATCCAGATAACAAAGTCTACATCTGGCACATCAAGAAAGAACGGCCCATCGCTGTTCTCCAAGGTCATTCTCGCACCGTTAATTGTGTGACTTGGAACCCCGTTAGACCAGACATGCTTGTATCTGTCTCAGATGATGGGACAATTCGGTTATGGGGTCCATCATCGGGCCAACAAGAACAACCCGCTGTGGTTGTCCCACCCCCTCCTTCAAGTCGGAATGGGAAATCCAACTGACAAATGGGAAGAACTAATAATAATTCTATTTCTGGTGGTGGTGGTACATCATCAGGGCGAAGGAGTCGGACGCGTAATCCGACCAGGTCCTAAATAATGATAATATTTAAGTACTAACATAATTTATGTTAATGCATTTTAATCGTGACGTTAAGAATAAATGACAAGACGACTTGTACGAATTTCGCTACAAATTCGTATTCAAGTTTTTGCGTTTCATACATAGAATTGTACTGTTGGGTGTATAATGTAATCATTTTAGGTGAAGCCAACGATTTCCTGCATCTCCTTATCCTTAAAGTGTAATAATTTAATTTATGTAACTAACTTTTCGTAACTTATATTGCATTACAACAATAATAAGCAGGACAAGTACACAAGTTTAGAATATATTTCGTTTTAATTTGCAAATACATATTTAAACAAATTTTGCCAATTTTTATAGACACTTTGATATTAGTCGAGAAAACAATAATTAGTGGATTATCGATCTAATCCAGTTGCGGAATGTTTTTAATCAATCTCTCGCGAGAAGAAATATTTAATAATTATTGTCAAGCTGTTAGTAATTAACTGTTATTTAATTTACTAGATTATGGCGGACGAGGCGATAAAAATCTGTGCAAGTAATCATTACTTTAGCTGGGGTTGTTATCTTATACTGTAAAATCTAATCGAATCTAATCCAACTTGTAAAACGTTTTTGTGACAATTCATGAATCGAGAATCCCAAGTTCTTCATGTGTTTTAAACGATCGATATATCTAACCAATATACATAATATATTTAGTGTGTCGTCGTCGTCGCTCGCTATTACTAAAATTACAGCTAGAAATAGATAACTATGTATATATCGGACGAACGAAAAAAACGCATTAACTATTGCTCATCGTTTTGACAAGTACATACATTTGATTGAATGGAAACCATTATTGTTGATGATGTGTTATGACCTGGTTTTGTTTGTTAGTAATATTTATTATTACAATCGTTATTCAATTTGGACGTTACCTCCTCACAAGTTATATCGTATCTGACAAATTATTATTACAATAATGAAAACAATAAAAACACGAAAATTGTACAGAAACATTGAGCAGAAATGAATTCATTTTTATTGTTAATGAAGTATTGTATGTAGCAGATAACAGGTATTGCATACTTATTTGTATGCAAATATATACGTGGTCAATTGGTTAAGTTGTGATGAAATCGACACATGCCAAAAATTTTTATCAAATTCACTCATTTCCATGTGCCAGCAGGTAATACTACAAGGTCAACATTGTGACCATGTCATACGGTCACAATAATAATTATTCCCCATTTCTCCATAAATTGATATGCTTCACATCATAATTTTTTATAATTAATATGAATCATTTTGTGACAACAATGTGTACAATTATTCTACCCGGCTGATGATGGATCACTGTACCTCGATCGTAGCAGCTTCCGGCAAAATATTGCAATACGAGGATAGCTTCAGGTACTGTAATTACATAGTGGGACGCTACCGATGTCATGCTACACACCAGGCACTGACGTACGCATATCAATTTTATCTAATAATAAGTGGGAAAATTCCGTATAAAAAGCCGACGCTTCGATCTCATCTATCTTATCGCTATTTTCAACATGTCATTTTCCAGTATGAAAACTTTCTTGGTTGTCGCCATCGTCGGCGCAGTGATCGCTGCAGAGGTAAACCGTGTTTAAGTTATCTATTTCTTTTCCGCATGAGAATTTTTAACTTTAATCTGTAACTTTGTATATTTAGGTTTCAGCCTTAGATATAAAATGTAAAGGTCTTCCCATCACAATGACAGAAGAACAAATTACAAGAATGAAGACTTGTGCTAAAACCGTAGGTGTAGACGCTCCAGAGAAAATGACACCAGAGAAGATTGGGGTATAAATAAAAATCTACCGATATTTTAATTCTTATTGCTATAATTGTATTTTATTTATTTTGCAGTGTTTCTCAAAGTGTATGTTCGAGAGGAAAGAATTGGTAAGAAATTAATCATACATAAACTCTTAAATATCTTCAAAATGAGGACACTTTTTTTCTCCCTCTGAAACTGAAAAGGTTGACGAGAATGGGAAACCTCACAAAGAAAATATTAACAAAGTTATCGACGCTTCAATGCCGGAACCTGTTAGAGAAGATGCCAAAGCTAAATTTGCCACTTGTTTAGATCAATTCGGTAAGTATCTATGAAATATTCTAGTTTCGAGTAAAAACGTATCGTCCTTTTTTAAAAATTAGGAGGAACAATTGACCCGAAAGATGCATCATGTGCAACTTATGCTCCTTTAGCAATGTGTACGACCAAAGCTATGAAAGAGGTGCGTGCAAAAAAGATTGGAAATATATATGCATGAAATTCCTTTATTGAAGACCAATTTATAATTTTCGTATTACACGATAGGTTTGCATGTAGTACTGAGGAATTTATCTACCATGAAAGACTTGAACCGGAAACAACTCCACAAAATTACGGACAACAACGTATTTAGAAATATATTCTTAGAGCGTCTAATTGCATTTATTAGACACTCGGAAGAAGAAAAGACTGGAAATTAAAAACTGACCAAAATCTTAATTTTCATTTTCGTCAAATTGAAAATAAAAATTGTATAGCATGCACAAAAAGAAAATTAGTTGAAATTGGCGTTTTTCGTTTGCAAAATGAAAATCATGAAAATTCTTGTGTATTAAGATTTATTGTTCAATGCACAATCTCTTCTTATGGAATTCTTGCTAAGGCAGTCAGCCATTTCATGATATGAAAATATATAATTGCATGGCAAAGCTAAACTTGACAATTTTCATTACAAGGGATCAAAAGTTCCCAATGTCCAGCATAACAATTAATTGCATGATCATAAGAATGCATTAAACAAAGGTCACGTCGACAAGTTGACTTTGGTTCTTGGGGAGGTGCTATTTCCTTAAATGAGATAATTGGAATAGGAGACGTCTTGAAAGAAATTATTCCCTTGCAGTTTTTAGAATTCTTCCCCATTTCGTAGTAGAATGCATTGAAATTGAACAAATTAGCAGCTGCCAGCAATTCTAATTTAGTTCCTGGTTCTCCCAACGACCCCATCTTTTTACGGTAGCGACGCCTGAACTTCGAGAAAGAGGACGGCCTAAAATAAAAATACTATTTAAAAACCAGACCAGATTTGCAAAATTATGTAAATGATAGTCACGTTTCGTCTTTTATCCCAGTCGCCAAATAATCTTGGACCCTCCACCACACCTCCAACTCATTGTGCACGATTGCACTCCACTTCTCTTGCCGAGTGTGAGATTCCGTTTTCAATAATTTGCATAAATATCGGACCACCTCTTTTCTAACCTTTTTGTGAGACCTTTTTACCTGGTAATGCTGCAATAGGCCTTGAGATATGGCGTGGAACAAGCAGTCCCCATTAGCAGGGTTGGAAATTACCTTGTAGAATCGGTCAGGTTGACTTGCATGTGACATTTATTTATTTCTGATTCTGACAAAATTTTGATAATTTCAAGTTTTATAAGCAATTTAACAAGATTGCTTGACAATTTATCATAATACAAGGTTACGACAGTTGCTTCGATAGCCTTAAAAACCTCCATTTTTGAAATGCTAATTATTTGGGCCGTCGCTAACGGTAATTAAAGCACAAAAATTTCTGCCGGAACGCCGAAATAGCCGATTTCACATTTACAACTGCACTGATTCTTTATTACTAATCACTTGTAGTCAGTAAGTACAAAGTACAAATAGGATGATATAAACACAAATTCACAATATAATTAAAATTCATAGTACTTTTAAAAGATTTCACTGATTCTTGTATCCATGGTTAAAAAATTAATTCGTGGGAACGAAATGTGAGTGCACACTGGTTCCAAAAGGTACCAGGGTTTTCGAAAATTGAAGTTTTTTCATCGTCGAAGTAAGCATCGAAGACTGTGAAGACTGTGAAGAGACGAAGTTGCAGTTGGCATGTAGATTATTAATCACATATTAGCATAGGTGATGGGAAGCACTCTCCGATTGACAAAGTTACATGAATTTATGTCAACTTCTAATTGATTCATAAATTACTACCAAACCAAGCCTTATATTTGCAGCTTTATAATTTTATGTGTTATATTAACATAATTAATTGGCCCTGTGCCCCTTCCCATGATGTCGCAATCGAAAAACTGACCTCAGATTCGAAATCAGCGACCAAAAAACTATAAGAATCGACATTTACCCAATGCTAACGACGTCGAAATAATTAATTGAATTATTCGTAACAATTGTAAACATTTGAAATAGGCCGCTATAACATATGTACAGGGGTGTACCGCTCCCTGTAACCACCTACCTACCGTATGGTACCCTAAATCCCCGTTTTTCAAAGTGAATGACCTAGGGTCGACTCATATACCAAATTGTAGGTATTAATGAGTAAATCATTTCTACATAAAAAAATACCAACTTTTACACTCAAACTTTTGAAGGAAAAATCAAAATATGCGCAAAAATCGCATTTTTTTCGCACTTTTTTTTAGCGGTACACCCCTGCATATGTAGGCAATGTAGGTATACATGTATAGTAGTTATATAGTACGTATATAGCACGTCCACCTGTATACCTGTGTATATAACACTATATATAACATATGTGTATGTATATAACTACTAAATACATATACTATGTATATATATATATGTTATATATAGCTATACACAGGTATACAGCTGTATACCTATAGCACGCGTGTGCTATATACTATATAACTACTATATATGTAATTATAATATAACACGGAACATGTGAGGCCGCTTATCTCAGGTGCTATTAATATACATAGGCTATTAATAGCACCAAGTCATTCAGGCACCCAGTCAGTATGACTGGATGCTATTTATAGCAGAACTTTCACCGGGTGCTATTTATAGCAGAACTTTCACCGCCCTCCAGAGGGTATAAAAGGAGCTGCACCAGAAATTTTTGTCAGTCTGCGGGAGGCGCTCGTGGGGAACGAATCCCTGGGTGAGCTCCCCATTGCAGCTGCGCCCTTGGGCCGCCCTGCCTCTCTGGGGAGTCGGGTCCACCCGTGGTTTGTCCCACAGCCCCGACTCTCTTCCCGTCGGAGGGGTGGTCCGGGGGAGCAACGCTGCAAGGGGAGAGCCTTACGGGAAGGTCCCCCCTCCAATGCTTCTCCCACCAAGCAGGCTCACCGGGTGGGGAGCCGGCGGGGCTTGCCAAAAGTGCGGGTGGCGCTTGGCAAGTGAGAGGGGCTCTCTACCTCCAACCCTTGGGTGACCGGGCTCTTTAGCTTGCACTCCCCTTGCGGCCGACCGGGTTCCCGAGTTCGAAGCCTTAATGGGGGCCGATTTACGGGTGCGCTCCCACCTCGTAAGGCGAGGGTCAGACGGGCCCCATAGGGGAACGCGGTTGCAGAGGCGGTGACGTGGGCAGGGCTTTCCCGGTCGGTGGAGGTAGACCCCCCTTGCGCCTCAGGGCGCGAGTGGGGGCCCGCCCGCGTGGAGCACGAGGGAGCGACGTCCTCGTCGTGTGCTCTGGAAACGCCCTTCTTAGGGCGGCTAACAGCTCCCCCCGTCATAAATGCATGGCATGGCGACAATCTTTGTCGCCATGCCATAATTTCGCCATTTCTCGTCCGATTTTCATCAACCTTCGACAGAGACTTCTTTTTGGTGTTGTCGACATGTCGCAAGGTCCCACCCACCGCCACCCCCTTGTTTTCGCCAAATTTCGTCGCCATGCCATAATTTCGTCATTTCTCGTCCGATTTTTATCAACCTTCGACAGAGACTTCTTTTTGGTGTTATCGACATGTCGCAAGGTCCCACCCGTCGCCAGCCCCTTGTTTTCGCCAAATTTCGTCGCCATGCCATAATTTCGCCATTTCTCGTCCGATTTTCATCAAACTTCGACAGAGACTTCTTTTTGGTGTTATCGACATGTCGCAAGGTCCCACCCACCGCCACCCCCTTGTTTTCGCCAAATTTCGTCGCCATGCCATAATTTCGCCATTTCTCGGCCGATTTGCATGAAATTTGGCGCAATGCTTCTTATTGGTGTTGTCGGCATGTCGCAAGGTTCCACCCGTCGCCAGCCCCTTGTTTTCGCCAAATTTCGTCGCCATGCCATAATTTCGTCATTTCTCGTCCGATTTTCATCAACCTTCGACAGAGACTTCTTTTTGGTGTTATCGACATGTCGCAAGGTCCCACCCGTCGCCAGCCCCTTGTTTTCGCCAAATTTCGTCGCCATGCCATAATTTCGCCATTTCTCGTCCGATTTTCATCAAACTTCGACAGAGACTTCTTTTTGGTGTTATCGACATGTCGCAAGGTCCCACCCACCGCCACCCCCTTGTTTTCGCCAAATTTCGTCGCCATGCCATAATTTCGCCATTTCTCGTCCGATTTTCATCAAACTTCGACAGAGACTTCTTTTTGGTGTTATCGACATGTCGCAAGGTCCCACCCGTCGCCAGCCCCTTGTTTTCGCCAAATTTCGTCGCCATGCCATAATTTCGCCATTTCTCGGCCGATTTGCATGAAATTGAGCACAATGCTTCTTATTGGTGTTGTCCACGTGTCGCAAGGTCCCACCTGTCGCCACCCCCTTGTTTTCGCCAAATTTCGTCGCCATGCCATAATTTCGCCATTTCTCGGCCGATTTTCATCAACCTTCGACAGAGACTTCTTTTTGGTGTTATCGACATGTCGCAAGGTCCCACCCACCGCCACCCCCTTGTTTGACCCACCTACCGCGTATTATTTTCTTCCTTCCCTAACAAATCAAGTTTTATATTACTTCAATTTTTTGTTGACAGGCTCGTAAAAACCCTTCGATAATCATTTTTTTAATTAGAAAAGGTAGTTATCTTATTTTCTTCGAACAGTCTTTCAGTGATGAGAAAAGACATTGTGGTCTTTTCTCCTCACTAACTTTGAGTGCAAGATTGCTTGACAATTTATCATAATACATCCATGATTAAAAAATTAATTCGATAATCGAAAGCACGAAATGTGAGTGTTGACGATGTTTGTGCGGTTTGTTTTTGGGCGACAGTTTGTGCGACACACTGGTTCCAAAAGGTACCAGGGTTTTCGAAAATTGAAGTTTTTTAGGCGTCGAAGCAATTGTCGCAACCTTGTAATTAGGCCTTTTAAGATGGCCTTATAGATTTGTCTAGATGTCCGTCTGTAGGCACGATAACTCTTTTTAAGCAAAACCTGTCGACTTGAAATTTTGCATATTTCATCTTCGGGCAAAAAGTAAGGTTGAGTTCGGAGATGGGCATGATCGGTCAAGTGGTTGGTCAGTGGGGGTGATTTAGGTGGGTCAGGTGGACCTCATAAAAATTTAAATGTCATAGAAACGTTCCGAAATTGTCGTGGGAGGCTGAAACTTGGAGAAGTTAATCATATCTCGAGTCCGACTTTCAGTTAATATCAAGGAACTTTTTCTTTACCCTCCCGCGTTCGTATCCCTACCATACTAATAGTATGGGAAGGATACCGCGCGGGAAGGGAAAAGAAAAAGTTCCTTGATATTAATTAAGCCATCTTAGAAGGCCCCGCAGAGTTGCTTGGAGTAGGTTTTATTACTAAAGTTGTCAAGCAACCTTGGTACAAAATTTTGCGTTGTTTTCGCGAAATAAATTATTTTTATAAGATTTATAAATTTTGGAATTTGTTTCCTTGGTGTGCTTCCAAATTCTATAGCTTTTTGTGTTTGAATATTTTTTTTAGTTCGCTGGAGGTCAAGATTGCTTGACAATTTGTCATAATACAAGGTTACGACAGTTGCTTCGATAGCCTCAAAAACCTCCGTTTTTGAAGTGCTAATTATTTGGGCCGTCGCTAACGGTAATTAAAGCACAACAATTTCTAACAGAACGCCGAAATAGCCGATTTCACATTTACAACTGCACTGATGATAATTTTCAACAGCAACTGCACTGATTCTTGTATCCATGGTTACGAAATTAATTCAAGGGAACGAAATGTGAGTGTTGACAATTTTTGGGTGTTTTATTTTTTGGGTGAAAATTTGTGCGGCGCACACTGGAGTCTACAGACTCCAGGCTTTTCGAAAATTAAGGTTTTTCAGTCGTCTAAGCAATTGTCGCAACCTTGTAATACTAAAGTTGTCAAGCAACCTTGGCAATTTAAACTGGCAAAATTTATTTGTGATAAAATTTCATGTCTATATAGTTACACAAATTATAGTTACACAATTTAACACGTTTGCCTGCCCACAAAATATTTTTGGTTTTACTTTATTAGAAATCATATTTAGCATTCTGTGCTGCATATTTCACTCAAATTGCAAACTACGCACGCCGATACCCTTTTTCTTATACGCTATGCTACTCTACGTTTGGCATACGCAGATACAACTAGCATTCTGTGGAATTTATAACTAAATGTTATGAATAATTAACTAAATTTTAGATAAAATTCTATAATGTATGTTAATTATGCATTTTTATTTATTTTTTGCATGGATTCAAATAAATTTGATCCTCAAAGTAAAATATTTCTATTTATGTATTGCATATGTACCTACATATTAATACCTTCTGACGTATTCATGAATTTCCGTTTCCGTTCATTTGAGATTGGATTCCATCCACCTCTCTCCACGAATACATAATATATATAAATAACTGCTTCATATTTTCTCCCCTCCCGAAATATGTTGCATTTCGAAAGTGGTAGTATTTTGGCCCGGTGTCATCCACAAGTGTTCTCTTGAATTCTTTATTACAGAATATAGCATTCCGTTGTACTGCATTTCTGTGAAGCTGAAATATGCATCGCTTCTTTATTCTCATAAAACAAGCATAATGAAGACGAAATTGTACGCACTAAACCATCCAGAATTCGAGCCAAGCCAACCTCAAGCCACCCTCTCCGAACCCATGCACTTTATGCACTTCCTTCCTTCCTGTCAGTGAAAGTATGATGCATGCACTTAACTAACTTATCAATTCTTAATGGGATCTCTTGGAACCAGAAGTCGAAACTCGGCAACTTTCTGGGTGCATTTTTTGTGGAGGATTATCATAACTCTTAAGGGATTAAAGCAAATTAATGTAATTTGTCTCATCTCATTTTATTAATCTTCGTCTCACGTCTCACTCGTCGTCAGTTCCAGTGTGTTGAGCTACATTTAAGGAAAATTACAAATTGAGACATCAAGTCCGGTGTCGTTTGTCTGTCAAAATTCAGCACTGGTCAAATAAAAGATTACATTACTAATTCAAATTGCTAACTGGAGGCGATAAAATTTTTTTGTAAATACCCAAAAACGGTGTAAACCTTTTATCATCTTTATGTTGAAATAAAGCTCCCCGTTTAGAAAATGAATAGCCAGTGTCAAGGTGTGGTTTGATTGTGAAATTGACATCCCAATTATGCAAAGGCAAATAACAAAAAATGTATCTAATCTGCCACCGTGGT